GGTGAACTGGTGGCTTGGGTGGAGCTGTAGTTGGCGGCTTGGGGGGAGAGTAAGTTGGCGGCTTGGGTGGTGGATAAATTGGTGCAGGAGTCGGGGCTTTAGGTGGGTAGCTTGGCGGCTTAGTGGGTGGAGGGGTGGGTGGATGAGGATGGGGGTGAGGGTGGTGGTGGTGGTGGTGATGACTTGGTGGGGGACTAGGTGCCATCACAGGAGAAATAGGCTGGTGAGATCCTTCATGGTAATGAGGAGGCAAAGCCTCAGGCAAAATTTGACCCGACACTCTGAAGCTGCTCACTAAGAGCAGTGAAAGCTGCAGAAGCAAAACAGCTTTAGCTGCTGCTACAAACACCATGTTTTTGCTTAAGCTGTATACAAAAGGAAGATGATGAAGCTGGAATGCTCTAGGCTGGGAATTTATAGTGGTTAAGCCGTGATTCTCTGCGGTTTTTATTGATGAAATCATGTTTTATAATGGCGTGGGGTAAGGTTGTAGGCTACTATACACTATTCAGAAAAAGAGAACAAAGGAAAAAGAAAGAAGTATTTTTTTCTCTTGTTTAGTTTATTCAAGTCTTTGAAAATAGGGTTCATGTCTTTAAATGCACTACACCAAATTGGAACATTAGTTTTTGCTTTTATGGCACAGAGCTTCTTCACGTGCAGACAGATACAGAGAGAGAGAGAGAGAGAGAGAGATTTGAACTAAAGAATGGTAAAAAATTAATGGAATTTTGCCCATGCTGCAAGGCAATGTAGAAGTTTCCAAGGACTTCGATTAGTGAACCATTTTTTTATATTTAAAATCTGGAAAATCTTATTCCTTGATGAAGCCATGAGGGGTATTAAAATGAAAAAAAAAAGTTAAATACTTTGGTTTTGGGCAGTCATGGACTTCCACAAAGTGGGATAAAAGATTGAACATGGACGCAAGAAAAAGTGAAGGTTAAAATGGTGGGGAATCCCAGCTCTCATCCATGAGAATCTTGTACGTTACTAAGGTTTTTTGAAGATTTTTAACCCTGTGGATATCATCTACTCTTGTGACGATAAAAACAGACACGGAGATGCAAACAAAGCTTTGGGCCCATGCCCCTCCAACGGTCCTTGTTCCCCCTAATCAGAGTCATACACTTTTTGGAAAGACAAGTAGCAAAAAAAGGGGAAAAAAAAAGAGTACGAAATGTGTTTTTTGTTTCTCTATTTTTGAAGACATTTTGTTAGTGGAGATACCATTTGATCCAAAAGTCCTTTTTAAACTTAACCTGCACCGACAAATTCTTTACTTTCAATCATTCTATTTACTTTGGCAAAATCAATCCGAAGCCATCTATGGTAAGAAAACATAAGAAACGTAACTCATAACAAAGTTGAATTTTGTGTTATTATGATAAAGATATATAATATTCGTGTTTATAAATTTTTAAAAGTTTTTTCATTTATTTAATATAAAATTAAAATATTTTATTTATTTTTTAAAAACTATCGACCGACGTCGACTAATCTCAATCTTTAAGGAGGAGATTGACGATCCCAAATTCTTTAACCGGAAAGTCTTTTTCGCCGGACAACTAACTCGTAGGAAGTGAGGAGGGCCCTTACTCTGTCTCACACAGTGTACTACTATCAGCCCTACCAGGCAACATCTACCTACACAAGCTCGATCAGGAGATAAGGAGGATTCGACAGAAGTAGTTTGATGTGATATTTTCTTTACTCAATTCAATTATGCGTTTGTCACCGTCAACCAACTTGCTTGCCTCTTCTATAATTTAATTGTTATATCTATTTTAAAAATATTTAAGTAATTTCATTTTGATATCACTTTACATAATTTTTTAAAATATTAATTTGATAAAATGTGAAATATTTATATTTATAAATTTTTTAAAATTTAATATCTATTTAACTTGAGATTAAAATATTTATTAGGATGATACCTAACCTTTCACATTAACTAAGATCAAATTGCATCCTCCATACAAAACATTTAAGCTGATTAAAGAATAATCAAATATAAATTAAAAAAAAAAAAACGAGAAGAATCAAATCATGTCTGACCTGTTCCCAAGCCCCACTGCCCAGTTAAAGCATAGGTATTAATTCTTTAACTGTATTCTTTTTCCCCCTAACACTGCTTACAAGGTCCTTCAAAGACATTGAATAATAATTACCAAATATTAAAATGAAAAAAATGATTAGACTCTAAGCTTCTTTCATAATGCGCTTTTCCAAAGGCAATCAAGTGGAGATAACATGGCTGATCACTTTAATTCCTGAATGCATTCAACTTATCAAATTGCATTCTCCGAATAGGAATTTGACCCTAAGAGCCTATACCCAAGTTAATTTGTTTAATGGACCCAAATTCTTGGATCAAACGATAATCAAATTGTCAATGGAGGTGGAAGCAAGCTGGTTCTAGTGTGGAACCAGGAATCCCATGTGATTTTCTACGCACAACTTACGAGGGAATAAATATGTATATATTTATTAGTTGTCATTCTTGCAAACTGGTCTACTTAGAACAATGTATAATTCTACAATGTATAATTCTATAGATCAATCATCAAATTACTTGTCAAACTAAAAAAAATGCGTACGGTCGTACAAATTTTTTTTTGGGGATTTGAGCAAGTTGATCTCGTCTGGCTCTTCTTTCATTCGTTGATAATGAGGAAATAAAAACAGACTTAATCCTTTTTCTGATAACATTCTTGTTTAACTGAAACTGGTCTGGCACATGATCTTTCCTTCCTGTTTAAGCCAGGATTAAAAAGAGAATCACTGCACACCAGTCAATAAGTTTTGAGCACATGATCAACCTTGAAAGCAATGTTGCATACCCATCACAGTCGGTTTCTGGCTAGTTATTAACTTATTATCAGCCGATGACTCATCTGATTAATTGATGTTATTGCTCACACAGATTTAGGCATAGTAAATTCTGGGTCGAGATCCTAAAATTTTTGGATATCACATGCCTGAATAAATTTATACAGCTCTTATCAGCTTGGAAGAAGGGGAAAGAATTCCGCTTGGATGAAAACCACAAGTCAACCTGCATATGATTATGATGCAAGGCTCAAATACCATTTTATATGTATACAAAAGGAATAAACCTTGGCCCAGAAAACCAGCCTCAATAGTTTATTTAGTTTTACGGAGTAGAGAAGAGATAAGAGTCTATTTTAGTGCAGATCCTCACCAGCTTAGTTGGAGAAATTTGAGTTAAACTCCACCTGCATTGACCTGATAATATTACAAACTAAACTAGGTATTAATAATTTATTCTTTGCCCTGCAAGATACATTGAATGCTCACCAGCTAATTGTCTCCGTCAAATGGTCTGTTGATGAATCCCGATGGTGCAAGCAAGGCTGCTTCTGGTGTATGTGTAATGAAAGATTAAGGACTTGTCGGTGGACTTTCCACAATTCTTGAATAAGTACATAAATTGTACTCTGAAGCATTACCCCTACTGGCCAAATGGTAAAAAGTATTTCTGCTAATGTTTTTACCATTTGATATTTGAATTAACAATATCTTCAATGTAAAACAGAAGTTGAAGCTTAAGATTTGGTCAAGGGAGACGAGCAAGGCGTCAACTATCAGCTACCCTTTGGCTAAAATGGGTAGCTTTAGGTTGCAGGTTTCAAGAGCTATTTACTCTGTTTTCAGAGTTTGATGTCTTCAATTCATTCTGATATATGTTGAAGCAAACATCTATACAGGTGATGTTTCGGTGTTTCAGTCCATAACTAGCAAAACAAGAAATACCAGATGTGACTCTGACTATACTCCTTTCCTTTTAGTGAACAAACAGCCCTTTTAGTCTTTAGCAAGCTGGAGTATGGCCTTATAAATAATGGTAGTGGGGGTAGCCAGATAGGAGATTGCCTTTATAAAGATTTTTGGTCCCCCTCATCACCTTCAGAAACAAAATGCCTAAGCTTATTACGCATGGAAAGTAAGTGCCGAACACCAATCTCCTTAGTTATAAAGTTTTAATTGACAACGGTTTCAGCAGCAACTTAAAGCAAACGTTATGGATGATCTCCGTGACAAGGGGAAAGAACTCCTACAAAAAGGTCCGGCTAGACTCCATTCCCAAGTGGCAGACAACAACAATGAGAACCTTAGCCGCAGCAACGTCCCATTCTTTACTTCTTACCACTCTCTGACCTCTGTTGTCTGATTTTATCCCAGAATTCACTAAATTTTAGGTTAATATATGGATATGAAAGCTTCTTCGTCAGTAATGAAAAACTTTGGCACCCGGGATCCCACAATCATTTTCAATAATTGAGGTCCCATACATGTGTACAATCCCATGCCCAGATTACATTTGCCATTCCTGATAATCGACTCATAAAATTGGACAAGATTTCATGATTACTACAAGCACGCTCCAGTGTTTGATTACTATGGACCACTTTTAGGATTCGGCCACTTTTGAATGGATTTAGGCCCACAATTCTATACATTGATATCTCATTTCTTCCCCCTGCCCGATGGCCTACAGTCTTGCAAATTTCCACCAACTCGGCCTTCACGTCCTTTTCTTCTTTTCCTTTGCCTCCCCTTCCAAATATGGCCCCAATTTTATAAAGTTAAAAAATTATGGCTGTCACCAAAACCCATTTGGTAGGAAGGAAGCTATCGTTTACACTCATGCCCATGGTTTGTTGGAATTAAAATTTGATAAAGGAACAAAGTTTTCGCAGTGCAAATGGTAAAGCCTTTAGATAATTGACTTAAAATCGATTACCAGCTGAAATGTTTTCATCCATTTTCTATGCGGAGAGGGGCAGTGATCAGTAAACGCTAGAGCAAGTGTAGCTTGAATGGACTGGATTTCATGAATGAATGATCAAAGCAGAAGCCAAGACATCAGAAGCTTCTACTAGATGGGTGTCACAAGATATGCTGGCTTTAAAGCTTTAACAAGTCTCACCATGCGCTAACTAGACCATGATAGGAAGGAAATGCCCAAAACCGGATTACAATGAGACCAAAAATATCCCATTAACAAATGTAAGGAAAAATAACATTTGTAGAGGAAAATAGTTTCTGAAGAAGCTTGAAGCATATAACCTCGCATGAAACCATCGAAACATGCTTACTAATTAGGTTCACTCAGTTTCAAAAGACAAGTTATAAATGCTCTTACAAAATCTCTCCGCACATAACGCTAAGTCAGATTGCGGATCAAACAAGGAAAGATAAATACTTTATGGACTATTCTTTGAGCTTCAAATCTGGCTTGTTGTAGACATTAGTGCAGATCTTAATTCTCCATAAATACCAGAATTTGGGTAAGCAATCACCAATAAGCTGTAGCAATCAACACTAAAACATCAGACAAGTCCAACATAGCATATGCAATCAAGTTAAAGCGTCAACACAACATAGCAACAGAAATATGCCAATGAAGAGATGATCCAGAAAACTAATGACTGCTTCAGTAAATCAAGCAACTAATATAATTCTTATCGAAATTTGCATGACCATACAAGGTCTTTGACAACAGACCAGTACATCAAGCTTTTTCCAATCAATCTTCTACTCCAAAGATTAAACCTATAACTCCAGATAAAATAAATTTCAAAGGATTTCAAGTTCAATAAAAAGTTCTACAGAAAATGGCTAAACAATCATCACCTCCTTACTTTTCTCCATTTATGAGCATTAAGAAAAAAGATGTAAAATTTGAACATCATTAAGGCAATTAATGATAGAGCCATAAACCAAGTTAAACATTCACAGAATTTGCTAAACTCGAATGATTTCAGTTAATTATCCATAATAAAAATAATAAATGCTTGTGCAATACTCATAAAACAATATTTGACAGATACTTGACTTCAGTAGATTGTCAGCATGTGAGACGTATGCAAATAATTGGATCATACCAGTTGAAACATGGCAAACATTAATAAATGAACAAGGGAGATTAAAACGGCATATCATTGCATGAGAAAGGTACACCGTAAGGACGTAATGCATAGGCAAATAAGAGTAAATAGCCCAAAGAACCATTACCATTAATTTTGTGGCTCAATCTCTTTATCCTCAACATCATTTGTAGTGCCATTTGCCTCCCCACCTTCAGCATCCTCAGTTGGTGGCTGAACTTGTTCTTCTTCAGGCAATGGTTCCTCCACATAATCATTCTCAAAAGCATCAGCTGGAACCTCATAAATCCTCACTTGAGGCTTAGATGGATCCTTCACAAGCACATATTTCCCCTCATTCAATTTCATACACAAGTCCACAATAGACTTCACAATACCCCACATATTCGCAGTGTTCAGATTAATTTGTGCAGCAAAATCTCTTGGCTTATACCCAACAACAGCCAATATCACATGGTTGAAATGATCCCTAGGATGCACCCTTGAAACATAGCCCAATTTCATTAAATCAGCACTGGCTAAAAGAGCTTGAGCAGTCCATTTAGCCAACTTATTCGCATTATTCTTCAATTCAGTAGCCAAAACTGCACCCCTCTGAGTCTCCAACTTCTGCCTCCAATCAACACCCGAATACTTGGGATCAAACTCGTTAAGTGCATTCAAAGTAAGAAAAGACTTCTGCTTATTAACCTCAACAACACTCTGAACCTCACAACGTGCAACCAAATACATATCATTATCAAGCTTCCACCTTCTATACCTATAGGCCACGGAAGCCACCTCATCACCTTCGTTGGCAAATGGGTTCGGCTCATCAAAACTCACCTTATTCCCATCCCTAACCAAAACTGCTGCGAAAAATTCTGATTTATATAAGCTGCTTCAACACTCAACGAATACGCAGAGTTAATATCATCTTTAGCTTCAGGCAATGGCTCCTGAGAAGTCTCGTGAACTGACAACAAATCTAATTGAGAACCATCTCGCTTATCGAAAAATAACTTATTCCCAACACGTTGAATTACAATATCCCATGAATAAACTGACCTGGGTGCACACATTAAGGTTGCCAGAATCGTATCAGTAGCAAAAACAGTTGCTTTATCCTCATTGGCCAATCTTCGGATCACCGGATCGTCAGTTGTGGTGACTTTAAAGAAGTTTCTGTTCTTGAACCTTTCGAGCCTCCGTTCGTTCTTCGGGGTGATTCGATCAAAGGACCGATCGTAATACTCTAATGCGCCACAGAGGAGTAAATCTTCGGGTTCGGGAACGGAAAAGGATAATTTGGAGAATGTTGAGAAAGGGATTTGATCGAGCATGTTCCATTCCGGTTGGATATCGACTGAAGATTTGAAAACCGCGGCTTCGCGACGTGGCTGGTTCTGATTGGACCGGTTGAGATTGTAAAGACGGTCGCGGCGGGCTCGCTCTTTCTCGGCCTCTCTTTTTCGGGCCTCGACTTCCTCGTCTCGTCGTTGAGGGAGCTGTGGTCGGTGTTGGTTGAAACGCCACTTAGGGCCGAATTTGGGCCGAGGAGGAGGCTTAGCGTCGACTAGACGGAAGGAGGAATCGTCGTCGGGGTTCGCGAGAGGGAAGGCGTCGAGGTCGAGGGAGAAATCGAAAGGCGCGTCGGAGGAATTGGCTCCGCCGGGTTTTGCAGAGGAAGGCCGGTTGGATGGGTTGGCGTTCGAGGAAGGGAAGGAGCGGGTGAAGTCGGCGATTCGACCAAGCTTTTCGGAGCGGGAGAAAGGAGCAAAGGGAACGTGGAGAGGCAGGGTGGTTGTAGTTGGGGCAGTGGTGACGGAGTCGGGTGGGCCCCATCCGTCTGGGTTAAAAGGAACTGCGCCTACTTCAAAACCTCCTACCATTGTTGATGGATCTCCGGATTTCGCTGCAGCAGAGTAAGAGAGCTGATGGATGGTATCAGTAAAGAGGGTTTTGGGTTGAGGGAGGAAAGAAGAAAACCCTAGATTGAAAGGCGTTTATAGTGTGTTAAATGACGTGTTTGCCCTCAATATTCGGGCTTTCGGCTTCGCTTGTGATCTTGAACCTTTAGCTGGAAACATTTGGGCCTTTCTGAGCCCATTAACTTTTAAATTGGGCCTCTGGTATCATTCTTTTTCCTCTTTGGTTACAACCCACTGCTAAAATTGTTAATGCCACCATTGGGCCTACTCTGGGCTCATTTGGACTTTCAGGGCATTTTTCTTTTCCCAGAATGATAAGATTAAGAACTGGCCCACTAATAAAAATTTGGGCTTTTTCTTGTCAGATCCAAAACTAATCACCAGGAGGGTTCTGAGCACTCTATTTTTGAAAGAAATACAATAAAGTTACTTGTTTGTGAGACCCTAACTTATTTAGTATTATTCCCATGGAAAAACAATTCTTGTCTCCATTTGGGTTGGATTTCCTTCATAACTAATTTCATAGTTTATTGAAATATTTAAGTTATGTATAATCGAATTTACGTAATTTTACAATTATAACGTGAATTTTTTTGATTTATGAGTTAATAGCAACTTCATATTTCAACTCACATATTTATTAATTAGTAATCCATTGATAATAAATAAAATCAACAAGATACGAACCTATACTCTTTTATATATTATATATATATATATATATGTCTATATAAATAATTGAAAATAAAAAATTTGAATGTAGGATGAACACACCATATAAAAACTTGAATATATGTAAAACGTCATTGCATTCAGTTTTTATAAGGTGGAACTTGGGATTTTAACCCATAAACAATGCATGATACGAGCGACAAGACACGTCCCAATTATTACCTTCCTTGTCAATTTAATAGGGAATGTCTTTAAGTAGTAGCAATGAGACAAAACATGCAGGAAGGGAACACGAATTTGATATCTGGGGACTCCACCTGGTTTCTCATATCCCTTTCTTTTTTCTTTTGTTTCATCGTAAATTTGTCCTCCTGTCTGAACCATTAATAATTTCTACCTAATTTAAACCATGTGTTTAGGGCACGAGTACACGACATCAACGTTAAAAACCATCCAAAGAGGTAGGGTTGGATAAGTGGAGGACTTGTGCTTTTTGCTGTAATGTAGGTTTTCAAAACCAATAATGTAATCAGCTTTGTTGGGCAATAAAGAAGGGGCAGGTGGCAGCAACTGCTTGGTCGAGAGCTGGGTCAGAAAATATGTGTATCCATCAGCTCCCAGTATCCATATCCCCTTCAAGATTTCTTGGTTGTCTCTTATATATGTAGGACATTTCATTCATGTTCATCCCTTTAATGTCTCAATAAATTATAATTAATCTGAAGTCACCACTAAAACAGTAATGATAGAATAAAAACTAAGAAGAATTTTTATTTTTTATTTTACATTTATATAATTTGATTTTTTTAACGTTATTTCGATCCCATCTAATGTTTAAAAGAAAATCAAATGATATATATATATATATATATATATATATATTTGTGTGTAAGATAGAAAGGAGAGAGAAGTAAGAGAAATTGTGTTATTTGATGTTTTATATTTTTCTGGGTGAGAGACTATTGCTTATATATTTTTTTTCTTTTTGATTAAACCAACCGTGAAATGGGATATTTTATATAACAAAGTGAATTTCACAAATACAATTAAATTACAGTGAAAACTTATAAATAATAATATTTTTGCATACTCCAAAATAAGGAACCAGGGATACACAACAAGAAAAGGTTTCTTTCTATCCTTTCTTATCGTTATAGCAATTTATAAATTCTCCACTTCTCCCCTATTTTGCCTGTGATCTAAACATGCTAATTACCAACTGAGATGCAAGAAAAGAAAGCTTGCAAACGTCATTCGTCTTTCGTCAGCCAAATTGCAAAAGAATTGCTTTCACACACACTACATAATACACATGTACATATTCCCGACTTGCTAAAAGCCTTCTCCCTAATTATAGCAAAAATACTTCCATAATTGACTTCTCATCCCTTTGTGAAAACATTATGTTACTTGCATTACCATTGACTTTTCAAAAAAAAAAAAGTAAGTTTCACAGAAAAATCCGCCCTTGTGTAAGCCATGCATTACACACTTTCTTAGGTGGGAAAGCCTCAATTTGCATTAACTATAAACCTTTAGCCAGTACTGGTCTTGCCGACGGTCACAGGGTCAACTATTGCGACTTCATCAGTTCAAACTAGCATGGTTTTGGTTGGACAGGCTCTTTACAAAGTGATTTCGTATTCAACATAGATAAATGGAAACTAGTTAGCAAATAAAGCACCTGGCCTATCTTTTGAAATGTCGATTTATCAAAACACAATGACCAATTATAAGTAATTCATATGTGAATAAAGATTATATGTAGGGTAATCCAAATCTAACAAATATTGATTCCTTCCAACCAGTCAAAACTAAACAAAAGTAACATCGTTTCTGAGCTAGCAAGAAGAAGTTTGTCATATATATCAACTATAGAGCCGTTATTCACCATAATCCTATCTAAACTAGAATCAACAATGCATAAAAGTTGTACACTTTGTTTAATCCTAGTTTAACTAGGTTATAGTGGCAGTTTGCTTTATTGAATATGAGAGGTAATTTGATGGGGTATGTATAGATGTGGAAAAACTTGGCAATTGAAAATATTAGCAATAGATCTGGTGTTGCCAAAGCAGCATTATTTCATATACTACTAATTAGCAAGCGGCAATGGCGCCTCATGTTTCATCCCTTGAGGTTTCTGAGAAACGTTTTACTAACAATCAAACCGAAGATAGAGTAATTCAGATTATTTACTCCGTTAGAGTATCACTGATCATGCATCCGCAATATCATTGACGAACTTCTGTAGTCTCTCAGATATCCTGGCTGCAGCTCCATAATCTGGTGCATAAGACTCCCCAACCTACACAGTGTTTAAGCCAAGAATTTCTGAACAAATCCTAAAATAAAAGATTATTCCTGAATATTACGATTCCTCATCACATCACAAGAAAAAGGGTAATGAAAGTGAAAGCATATGCCTACCGTAAGATGTATAGTATGGAAAACATTATCGTCAACAACAGAGAAACTGGCATTAACGATCTCGGCTCCTTCTTCATGAAGAAAACGAATTGTCTCATTGAAGATGAACTGACTATTCGAGCCAGCTATTAACCCAATCACCAAAGAAGAACCCATTTCTTGAATCTGGATTTGGGGAGATCTCGGTCCACTGCTCCTGCTTGTATTCGTCGACCTTTCTACTCCTAGTAAGCTGTCTTTCCTTTCCTTCATTCTCTCCAAGTTTGTCTGTAACCTTTTTATATAGTTTGCAGCTTCACCTAGTTGATCAGGCAGTGATGTTGATTCCTGCAAAACTCCATAGAATCGAAATTTAGCAAATATTTGTGCACATTTTGGAGTGAGTGTGCAAAAAGAAAGGGACAGAGAGAGAGATAAACCCTAGAGTTGTGATGGGGTATGAGAGAATTGAGCTTGGAATAGAGAGCTTTCATTTGATTTCTCCTGTTTCTCTCGATGAGTTTTCTATCTGTTCTTGAGGAATTAGGGTTGTGCTCCATATCAGTTATCCTTTGGGAAGCAAAGCTGCAGCTTCCAAGCCCTTAGACCAACTTAGCAAACGTTGCCCAACAGGGTTAATGTGAGTACCCCTTTGTTTGTTAAAGCCTTAAAGGTTCCCTTATCAGTAATGAAAGCCAAAGGCACAAAAGCAAAATTATATATCATGAGATGCCACAGAGAAAAAGTTTGCTGATATGAACCGGTGGTGGGGTTCGCTGTAGGGCTAAGTGGACTGTCATTGACCGTTTTAATTCTTGAGAAAACATATTTCCAAAAGCTTTACTGTTTCAATTCCGGCTTAAACCTTTTACAAGCACATGCCTCACCAAAAAAATTTTAACCCATTCTTTCTTTTCTACCCAATTATAAATTTCATTTCAGTTGAATCTTTTCACCTATGTACAGGCTTTGAGTACCCTTTGGATTCAGATGGTTTGTCCAATTTTGCAAATCGAATTATCACTGTAGATATGAATGAAATTATATGCATGTAATCTTCTAATAATGCAGCTTCCCCGTTCCAAGAGAATCATGTTGGTTTTAAGATGAAGTTCATTAGAAAATGACGACGAGGTATCAGCGTAATCAGGTGGAAAGTTTCGCTGAACTTCCATTGATTTGGAATCGTACCAGTTTGATTTGACCAGTTGCTCACCAACCCGATACATGTGGCGATGTCTTGTAGTGTTCAGAGGGGTAGGAAAATGAATTCTTCATCTGGATTAACTCGGAGCCTTTTGATAAAGTAAAAAAGCACAGATTAAACTTGTCTCGTCAATCATCATGCACATAGATACAGCATCGACACGTGTTGGAATAACCCAGTGAAACTGGCATGAATATCTCAATGTTTAATACCGTAAGCATTCGGCTTAATGGCTTAATTATTCCCACTCCTTAAATCTTATCTAATTACTAATTTATTGGTGTTATTATGATTCCTGGAAGTAATTTCTTACTCAACATTTTTCAGGTTTAGTCTCATTATATTCGTAATGACCAGCTTCTAATGGTTGAGTAGGACTCCTTAATCTTATCTAAATTACTAATTAATTGGTGAGTTTCTACACTGCATGCGACACGTGGTTGACGAAGGTCAAGTACACCGAGATTATTTGGCAGGTTCCAAGATTTTGCAGTACATATAATCACCTTTTCGAATACTTAATTAATCTGCACAGGTAAACAAACACCATGGACTATGATTTATATTCATTCTTGTCTCCCTTGCAATCATTACATTCCAAGATTTGTACGCTAGAATAAGCTATAATTTACTTCATTTTTATTTGATCTTCTTAATCTCATGTTCAATAATCAATGCATATTTCCTTGTGTTTCATATTCTTCGGAAAAGCATTTCACTGTGGGACTAACAGGACCAGAATGCAGCAAACATCGAGTGCACTGTATATGTATCAGAAAACAGTGAGATAAAGAAACCTAGCAAAAGTGGCTTTGGAGGGGCTGGCTTATTGCCCAAGCCAGATGCGCATTGAAGGCTTTGTGGGGAGCGTACCACTGACCTCAAAGAGAAATAGAAATTCTCTCTCTCTCTCTCTCTCTCTGTCTCGTTTAGAGACTAAAATGGTCCACATCACTTACTTTTGAGTTTTATGGTCCAGATTTGTAAGGAGAAAGATCAGTCTTCAAATGCAAATCCTTGCTTTTGGGGATTTTCCATTTTGTTAAAAGCCCTGCCCTCTCCATGTCTTCTTATGTGAAGAAGGTGGACATTCCCAGAACTGTGAGGATGCAATGTTCCCTTTCTAACAAAGTTAAGAACACTATAGATGTCATGGTTATTTCTTTGCTTAGATTTTTCTTTTTAAAGTATACAATTATTATGAAAGACTTGAATCATCCTAAAAGTGAGATTTAAATTTTGAATCTTCTCGATTTTAAATAATTATATGCATTAGTAGCACATATGTTAAGTATAAATAGTGTTTAATTAATTATACAATGAACGCTTTTTAAGTTTGTAATAATTTTTAATGGACTTGTTGTCACTTCATTTAATGTCTTAATTATCAAAGAGATCATTATATAAATTGAGTTTTTTGGAAGGCATAAAATTATATTCTAATACTTAAAATGATTATAAAAATTACCATGGATTAGTAGTGAGACAAAGTAGAAGACTAAGGGGCACAGAATCCCCTAGTGCACTAACCTGCGTAAATGAAAGAGTCAAGAAAGATCAAACAACCATTATGTAAATTATTTAACCTTTCAAATAATTAACACCTAATATAATTAACCTTCATGATCACGAGAAGACAAGGTCCTTGGATTGAATCTCGAATTATTGTTATGATCTCTTGAAATGAGTCGAGGTCCAATGAGAACTGATCATGTAAATGTTCCTGCTTATGATTCAATAACCACCCTCCTCATCTCAGCAACAATTAGAAGAAGAATACAAATGTCCAAAGGAGAGAATCATACAGTAATTTCACTACCCAAAAGCATAAAATCACATTGTAGAAGCATGGTTGTCGGGCTTTGGTGGGCAATTGCGGGAGAGACTGTCTTAGCCAGACAGGGAAACAAGGGCTTATTTGCACTTTTCCTGGGAGGCATATTTCACTTTCCAAAACCATTCCCAGTGGATGAGAGTTGCTGATGGAAAAGTGAAATCTAATTGATGTTGAAAGAGCAACAATTGGACGATCCATTTCCAATTCAATCTGTCTACAGTTTTTACACCAAATAGCAAATAACAATCCTAAAAACCTACAATATTGCCGCCCCCCCATGTTTTTTTGTACATCCACAAACCATAAGCAACAATTATTACTTGTGAAGACTTTGGTCTTCTCCAATTTTTTTTCCATATCGACTTGGATTTCCAGGGGGATATTAAAAACAACAAAAGGGAGAAAGACCATGTGTACCTTATCCCCCTTCAAAGCTTTTCCAGGGATTGCTCAGCTGTAAAATTGCTTTGAGAATTTGCACTGGGAAATTCCTTTGGAATCTCCTTTAATGTGGACAATTTAACATTCTTTTTACCACCACTAAGATTTGATTAGAGACTATAGCTGTCGCTTTAGATGCTCCATGCCTACCAACTTTCTTCTGCCGTCTTCGTGAAAAGATGATTTACTGAAAATTACGTAATTCCGTTCATTTTAAACTCGAATTAATCTGGACTCTTACTTTAATGTGTTAAATAATGTCACCGAATTATTCCGTTTTATATTTGATTCACTCACCATAAATTAAATTGTGCAATATCAGTCAACTATACTTAAATGACATCAAAGTAGAAATCATATTAATTTGATCTGAAAAATACGTTAATGAATATCCATAATTAATGAGAAATACATCATACCCGAACTAATTCCATTAAAGAATGTTTTAAAAAAAAGAATAATAAAACAAAACATGCAAGCACTCTATTCCTAGTATACACAGAGTCGAGAAAGGTTACAACATTGAATAAAATATATATTCTTTTCCTCTTAAGTCGTTACCATCCTCAAGACGAAGCAATTGTTTTATTGGAGAATAAAGTTGCCTTTAGGAATTATAGTTAAGTTAATGGTTTCAAAGAAGCAACCACTACGACTTTGGTCTTGGTTTTGTTTTCCATAAAGACTGATGAATTTCACTGACCTTTGAACACTCACAATACGACCTTTTGACGAACCAAGTCGCAATACTGAATTATTGCCACTCCTATCCTATCACGTTCAGTCTTCATCGTTTTGATCACGACACTTGCATTAAAACGAAATTTGATAGGAGCTTAACCTTAAGATGTTGTTAATGTATCAATATCCAATCTCTTTTTATATTATTTATTTGATTTTATTATATGTTTATTTTGTTCTTTAATGTATAGTACATTACTACCAGAAGCCAAGGTTACAAAGGAATGATTAAGGCCCAAGCTAGAGTAGACACATGGGCTTCATTAACGGTGTCCAAAGTCCGAGGGTTTTGGTATTGCAAAGGCCAGACAGAGAGAGGCCATTGCGAATCCTTACAGTTCTGCCAACAAGAACAGGTCAAAATTTAATGCATTTGGTATTAATATTTGACAGGGAAACCCCGTCCAATCAAAATCACTCACGAATTCATATGGACCACGTTTGTTACATTGAACCTACACAAGATTTAGACATGCGGCGATCTACTCCAAAGAGGAAAAGGCAAAGGCTACTAGCCTACTACTATCAACTTGCATGGTGCCGTATAGACGCTGTAATTAATACTGGAAAAACATCAAATCGAAATAATAAAGTCCAACTAAACTTAGGGAGGCAATTATGTTTATATATTTTTGGGTAGCAAATGCAGAGAAACCCAATTCCCTTGTTCTCCCGGTTAGGACTTAAGGATGCTCGACTCCCACTTTTAACGTATAACGTTGCAATGATCCTGTTTCACTCTCACGTAGAGAATGTGGGAATAAATGCCAGCATTTCCCAGACTTTACTCTTTCAGATAATTGCAGATTCCTGAATCATGAATACAAATGTTATTAACTCAACTAACAGGAAGAACCCTTTTTCCAGTGTGTATTTGTAATGATATGGACTGAATTAATGCCTGTAAACTTCAATAAATTACATACTACTAGTAGTTGTTCCTAAAGGAAGTAATAGGATTTGAATTTCCTGAAGTTAGGGGAACAAAGAAATGGAAAGATACAATAAACTGGATCAACTTTCCATGATCAATTATTGCAGAAACTAAACTCATATGTGCAAGTAAAGAAAATGACAACTATATAAAAAGAAGGGTAAAATTGAAGAATGTTTGATTTGTACACACAAGTATTCATCTTTGGAACAAAAAAGGAAAAAGAAAAGAAAAAAAAGAGTACACACAACTATAAACAATGTGCACACGTGTGTATACACGAAATGCCATCCGGGACAAATGACTTTTCTGCAATGAAAATGATTTTCTTTAATTTTTCTCGGCCAATATTTTTAATTTCCTGCCCAAAAAAATGGTCATTTGTTGTATGTGTATAAAGGTTAAAAAACACATTCAGCTTCATGCATGCCTACCAATCTATTTCATTCACTCTCACATGAATGTGACATAAGGTACAAATAGAGAAGCTTAGAAAACGAACCTTTTAATTACAACTGGCCCGGTGACACTACAAAAAAGCTAGGTCACAATAAAGATTCATGTGAATTTAGGTTTAGGCATAGGTGAACTATAGGCATTAGAGTGAGGGTGCACGGGACCAAGCTTTTGAATCCAATGAAGCAGCCCTTTCTTATGATCTTGGCAAGTTGGGTTCTGTACCAATTTCAGGGTTCCATCTTGATTAAGTGAGGACTCAAATTGCTCCAAGACCTTCACTATCTGCCAAAAATCAGGCCTCTTCTCTGGGTGCAACGACCAACATTGCTCAATTAAAGCTCGCATGGCAGGTGGACAGCTGTGTGGGATAACAGGTCTCAAATTCTAGGAAAAGAAGTTCCGACGTCAGAATTATAGATATAAAAGCTTCTCAGTTGAGATTAACAAATGCAACAAATCATACATAAAGATGCTACAATCGCACTTCAGTTCTCCCACATAAGTGAAAATTCAAGTAGAACATCTGTTATTAACCATGCCTTCCTTTCCTAAACTTCCAGAGTCATCCTGACAATTTATTCAACCCACTGAAACAATGGAGAAATATGATGCTACCTACATCTTAAGTATCTATTCTTGTTTCTGAAAAAAGTGCTTAGGTTAGCCTCATATTGAGCAATGACTTTTAAATGATTGTTTGATTAACATCTTATGCCACTGCATGAGACCAAGATAATAGCATTAATGCTGAGCACCAGCAGGATGACAAGGCTCCTTCGCAGTCTAACATCATGCGGACCAAACCACTCAGTTCTATCAGTATTGCTTAAATTCATAAAGACTTTCAATGCAGTCATATTTGTGGATCAATATTACAATCTTCAGTTGACTGAACATGATTAAATCAATGAGATGGCAAAATATTTAGGAATTAAAATAAGCAAAGACATGAAAATTTTGATAAGCAAAGGCCTGAATGAACTGAGGCTGATATGCAAGGACAGATATATGCATTCATATTACCAAAAAGCATGAGGTTAAGGAACATACCTTGTTCACAACTGCAAAAGCAGCTTGGATAGGATTCATATCCTCATATGGAATTGTTCCAGCCACCATTTCCCACAAAATAAGTCCAAAGCTGTAAACATCCACCTTCCGTCCATACGATTTCTTTTTGATCATCTCAGGTGCCATCCAACGATAAGTCCCTGGATCATCTGCCAGTAGATCACAATATGCCTCCTCACAAGCTATACCAAAATCAGCAATTTTCAGATGAAATTCCTGATCGATAAGAACGTTTTCTGGTTTAAGATCACGATGAATGACTCCTTGAGAATGAATGTATTCCATTCCACGAGCAACTTCTAGAACAATAGCAATTAACTTTTCCATCGGAAGAGACTTGTGATCAAGCTTGTGCAAGTACGCCCTTAATGAACCCTCTGATAAATATTCCGTTATAACACAAAAAACCGGTGGCTTTCTGCATGCTGCTGCAAACTGGTTAACAGATCAAACAATCAAGTGAGGATCGAAACTAACAAAAAAAACCTCAATTCAAGATAATTTAAAGCTATGGCTCTTTAGCTATTAAGAGATCAAAAACCTGAATAAACTGTTTGGAAGCATGGTAATAACAGACGAGATACATATGAAAAAGGGGGAAAATGAAAAAAAAAAAAGAACAGAAAAGAAAACAAAGAAAAAGTTCAATTACCTTTATAACATTCGGATGGTGGAGCCGAGATAGAAGAGTAACCTCCCTATTGAACTGTTTCTCTAATCGAGCAGCCAAGTTTCCATTCTCGTCATCATCTGGTACCCTAATAATTTTAACTGCAACAGGTTCCTCCTTATATATACCATGATAAAGCCGGCTATGCGCACCATGGGCAAATCTAAGCCCAAGAAATAGCTGGGAAAGTTCAACAGTGTGTTCATCAGCTGCTTCTACGGCATTAACCCTTCCTCCAGCATGGTCAAAATACTTAGTCCAAGCCGATTCCTTCCTGCTCTTTGACTTATCTTGAACTTTCATGGAACCGAAGTGCCTAAGGGGACTTGAATTTGATGTTGCTGGTGAATTGGATCCTTTCTTATCATGGGATTCTTTATGGAAAAACTTTCCCCTAAATCGCTTGTCGGATTCTTTCCTTTGAGGATTTGGAGTTGAGAATCTCCTCCTCTCAGACCTTGCTTCCTTAAAGGTATCAGAGAGAACAGTCTGAGGGAGAGGAGATACAGATCTTTGCTTGTTTGTGATAGGATTTCGCTGAATCTGTGGATCATTGTGAGCCGATTTCTGGTTAGCAGAAGCCACTGCTGACCTTGGTTTCAATCCCAAACTCCACTCCAGATTCCTGTCTGATTGTAGGTGGAAAGGAAAAGAGACCAATCTTGATGAGTCCAATCTATGACAAACCGTGTGAGAAAACTTTGTTCTCCTAAGCCATGAATTAGCCTCGTCTACCATTTCTTATATCCCTGTAATTCAGTGCAAATACTTGATATCCTAGAAGACCTTAAACCTAAAGCTTCGCTTTTGACTTTCCTTCTATGTTTTCCTCCTCGTAAGAAGAAGAAGGGACACAATCAAGAGACTGTTGCTGAAACAATACTCCTATGCAATATACAGAGCTCAAGAAACTAAAATTCTTCAAGCCCATCAACCATTGACCACTGAAAAATCAAACTTCGGTTTCATTGAAATCAAGAAACCAATCAAAGCCATGAAGAAGAACCATCAAGAATGAGACTCTGACTGGCCTTAATCTCTTCTCCATTGGACAATAAAAAAGAAGATCACTTGAAACCCATCAAATATATCCACACTTAAAACACCATTTCTTCAATCTATCAAACCTTTGATTCATAACCGAAGTACCAAACCCTCCTCCAAAAAAAAAAAAAAACTTTTTCCTTTCTCTTAGGCTTCGAAAGTCAAAATACCACCTTCCGTGAATGCCTGGAAAATCCCACACAAGTAACCAAATAAACAAGTCATCAATCAAAAAATTAAAAATAATATAAAATAAAAACAAAAACCCAAGAAAAAAAAAGCATACTTCATTTTATTATTGAAAATAGAGACTAAACAAAGCCATGAGTATAACACGCATTAACCACAAGAAGAAAAATAAAACTAATCATTGTGTCGAAAACAATCATAAACCCCATTACAAAAAAAAAAGAAATAAAAAAAAATCAAAGACCCAGATTCATATATGACCAGATAAGCACAAAACAAATAAAAAATGGGAAAAAAATCTCAAAGTACTAAAACTAGTACATCTGATAACATATACCAAAAGGCATCCAAAGACAAGAACTTTACCATGAAGCTAATAAGTACATGGCTAATCAAGGCAAGGTGGCATTTTCTTTTGAGGGTTTTCTCTTTTTTTTTTTTATCTTCTTTTTTCCAAAGTTCTAACCTTCTTCTACGTTGTTAGGAACCAAAGACAGGATATTTTTGTGGGCAGATAAGAGGGAAAAGATTGAAAAAAAAAAAAAACAGAACAAAACCCAAAAAATAGTAAAAAAAAATCTAGGAATTCTCCTGCAAAAGGAAGGTTTGTGATGGTATACGTATCGTCTACGGAGATGGTTGGGGACCGTAGATTCCGTGGACCCGCTATTTTCGGTTAAGGACTTGGAAAAAGGTGGAGCCCAATTGGGAGAGGGGTGGTGGAGTGTGGGGACCACAGAGAGAGAAAGTCAATAAAAGACAGAGCTTTTGATTTTTCAAAAAGCTTTTTTCTAAATAAATAAATAAAGAAGTAAAGTGGCGGAATACAAGTGTCATTATCATGGAGAATTAAGTATTTATTCATTTTTATCCTTTTAATAATTACAGAGGCGGCAGAGTGGTACGGTTCGCACGGATTTGGTGTTTGTGGTTGGTATCGGGGGAAAAAAGGAAGGTGCTACGGCCTATGTGGTGCACCATTGGAACATGTTGGGTAGACAGGCCCTTCTCGTTTGTATATTTTTCTACGTACATGGATCGTATGTATACGAATTTTTTTCTGTTATATGCTTTTAAAATTTTATTCTATAATTAAAATGTAACGACATAAACTCATAAAGCAGGATTAATTAAAAGCGCTAACCAATAGAAAGGTCATGTTGACCAAGTGCGGTGCGTTTGGGATTAGCCAAGTGCTTTTCAAGTGCGGCTGCTGATGGTAGGGACCCAATTGGGTGCGTTTGCTATCAACCTGTGGCTAGGATCAAAGACCCGGATTTGACGCAACCTCACCACAGCATTAAAAGAGACCAAAATTCCTCATTCTAACTTAAGCCCTGAATCTCCTTTCTAATCAGGGAGACTTATTTATAGCTATTTTCTTCTTAATTGAAAATATTTAAATTTGAGTTTATCCATTTATTCAAAAATTCATTCTCGTACATGTTTTGGCATCAATAATAAAATTTACGTGTCGTAATTTAAAAAAATTAAATTTCTTATCCAGATATCATTTGATAATTATTAAAAAGAGTGAAAATATGAATTGTTCATGCCTTTGGTATTAACACAAGCACATATCATGCTTAATAAATTGAATGATGAATTGTACATTCTTATCTAAAGAAATTAAGGATAAAGTACCTAACCAATAGTCATTCAACTTCTTTTAAAGCCTTGTTTTTAGACAACATATAGAAATTAAAGAGTTTTTCTTCTTGGACGGTTTGCTTTTATTTAAAATACCCAACAGACAAGGGAGAATAAACCTAATAAGATGAGAGCAAAAATAAAAGATCTCACTATTGATGGCCAAAACAGAAATGTACAAAAGCAAAATGTATATGTTAAAAATTGCAAAAAATTATATTTAAATATTAAATTTAATGATTGATGTGTGATTTTTTTATTTAAAAAGTAAGATTTATTTTTTTTTTTATTAAAAAGGATCGGCACAAATGTAGAGGGATCAGTTTTGTCAGCTCCCTTCTGTTTCACTGATGCTTTTGTATGCTTTTTCCTATTTTTGGTTTGCTTGTTCATATTGAGAGTTAAGAAAGAAAGAAAGAATGAACCCATGGGCCTCTTGGTCTAAATTCAAGAGACCCCTTGTTGAGAACAATAACAAAAGATGGGTCCATCGAGTTATCTTCACCAAAGGCCCAAAACCCACATAAATGTTTTCCTCAACCACAGGCTCAGACGGTCAGACCATCAAAACCCCGAGTCGTTCAATCCCCTCCCCTGTGTATCACTACCTTTATGATGGAGGTTGTTGGGCTCCTAAGGAAGCTCATATGTATAGGAATTCCTTTTCAGGAGGGCAGGATCAATTTATCAAGTGAAATAAAGATTCTACCAATTATCTATGGATTAGACAATCAGAATTATGCTAAACTCTCTGATGTGATTATTATCAAATTCTTTAACATATTGTGTTTACCAAAGGTTCATGGTTCAAGAGATAAGAGATAAACATATTAGATCGAAGTGAAGTCAATGTTTCATTCATGTCTTCAATGATAATCTGATGTAAAGGAAACTAGATTTAGTTGAAAAGAAATATTTAAAAGAGCAATGAATCACTCTCCTCCTTTTTTTTTTCTTTTCTTCTGATGCCAATTAAAGAATAGGACAGCCTTCAATCTAACCAACCTTGGTATGAACACGCCAATAATATCGTTCACACTAGACAGCATCTGGAATGTTGTCGATGCTACTTGGTGGTTCCTGGAACTCGTGCATACCAGAGCGTAGCATGTTCCAAGTGATATGCCGTCAAGTTTGCATAGAAATTGGCTTCTTGATGATCCTCATCTAGTTACTTCTAATGACTTCTAGTTTGTAGGATGATGAAGGAATAAAATACGTTTTTTTTTTTAAATAAACTTCTGATTTGTAATTTTTCTACCATCATTTATGAATTACTGTTGAACTTCCGTGAAGCTTGCAATTTTTCGTATTAAAAAATAATACGAAATTAAAAAAATTTGAATCTTATTTTTTAAATAAAAAAATGGTATCAAATATTCAAGTTTGTGAAAATTAATTAATACGATACAATATAAAACGCTAACCTGGAGTTAGTTCGGAACCTGATCCATTAATGTTTCTGACATTATTTTTATAATTGTCAGGAATCCAAGTCCGGGTGTATTGCTACACAACAGAGCATGGTCTGTCATCAAATCTGACATTTGCTGCAGCGTATGGCATTGAATTTGAACATCAAACTTCCCAAACAAAAAAAAAAAAAAAAAAAGAGAAGAAAAAGAAATTGAAGGATATATGTGTAAGAAAGAAGGATAAGAATCCTAGACAAAAGACAACAGTTGAGAATAAAACCACACTGTAATTATTTATCCAATCCAACTAAAGTATTCGTATAACACTCACACGGCCCCCAAGTTCACATGTAAGTACAAAAAACAAAAGAGGCAGAGGACAAAATCTTTCGCTAATTACTAGCTCCCAAACTATTCATACAACCTCAACTGCTGTACAATGCTTATTGGATAACGTTTCCAGCAAATCTACAGTTAACATGGAGGCCCTTGGCTTTGGCAATCGGCCTGAATATCCTACCGACAAGGATTGTGTTAATGTGTTCCGTTCACAAGATTTTAGCCACTTAGCTTGCATGTATCTGTGTTTTCTCCATGGCCCCATGTGCATTTTCTTCTCCTTCATGCATTTCTTGGCAGCCAAACATAAGATTTTGATAACATTATTTAATCTCTCTACTTTGCCGACGAACACTTCTGGTAGTCGTTGAACTAGACGATTGTAATCTTCACTTGCTCTTGCCATCTCAAACTCAGCTCTGAAATTCAACTCTATGATTACCCTTACATCCCCTTTTCTTGAATTCTCTATCACATCCAAGAAAGTGTGCTCTCCTGCACAGTATCAATCCAAATAATGTTAAGTACAGCCTCTGACTCCTTGACAAATTGAACCCCACCGAGATAATAATCTTCTCTGCTCTAAAGAACTAAAGCAATGGAATTTTTACCTGAGGGGATATCCGGAGAGCTTCGCCATTTAGACCGGCAAACGGCGCTGTTGAAACCAGCATTTTGGAGACGGCTGGAGACTTCTCTCATTAGACAAGTCCTACAACTTTCAGCCATAGATTTCCCACAAGGACAAACAGTTCCCGCTTTCTGAATATCTTTCAAGGCTTCCTTGGTGGCATTCCTAATTCTTGATTCTAAAGAGCTACTCCTACACAAGGTCGCTTGCAGAACCTGGTGCTGGCTCTCCCAAAAACTCTTGTTGTTTTCGACACTGCTTTCATCATTCTCTTTCTCCTCATTATCACCCAAGTCCCCTCCTTCATCCACCATTTCATTACCTGGAAGCTCATCACTGTTGTAGCTTACGGGGTGGTCACCATCTTCAAGGAACCCGAATTCCATATCTGATAGACTCGAATCTGTTTGCTCAGGGACCTTGAATTCCTGGCAACCGTATGTTACATTCCGGTGATTCCATGAAATTCTTGTTGCAATGCCAGCCATTTTTTTTTAAATGTTATATTTTCCCGAGGGTAATTTAGAAACTGGGCGTGTAATGTTGTGGGCTACGGACTTCGGTTTTATACAAGGATTTAGGCAACAACGGGACCCGCTTAGACCTACGTGGACGAACGAGCCGCCGCGCACATGAGAGACAAATTGAATTCCTACGTGGCATGAAGCCATTGGATTATCTGCATCGAGTCAGTCTAGTATATATCGACCAGACAGCGAGGATCCAGGTCGATCAGTCGCAATAATTTTGATCAACCGATCTAATCCGGATATACTCGAATATCCACGTCCCACGTATATTTCTCTTATTAATTTCTTTGATCTACCAAAATAAATTTTGATATTAAAAAAAATTAGCTTAATTCATAATTTGAATTAACTCCTTTTGAAGAGGTTTAAGAGTTACTTATCGATATGAGTTTACTTTTTTTTTGCTAATTATCATTACAATTTTAGTATAATTTAATTTCATTTAGTAACAATGTAATAGTTTATTTAAATATTATATAAATTTATATAAATTAAACATAATAAGAATATTGATCATGTAATATATCACATCATCTCACATCAATTGTTCATTTTGTGTTTAATCGACACCGCATGTTATATTTACATATACAAAAAGTAATAATTATTATTGATAATGAAATTTTTTATATTTTTATTATAAATAAAGGTTTAATTAAATATAATTAGAAAAAAAAAACTAAATTTGATAGAAAAAAAATAGAGAGACTCAATTGTGAATTGTTAATAATTCAAAGAATTTTTTATCATTTTAAAATGGGTAAGGTTCGTGTGATTATTAATTATCCCCATCCCGACATGAAAATGGTGGATCCCACCAACTAGGAAGAGACAGAGTGACGTGACTGAGCGTCGTGTAAGATCAAACGTGGACAAATCCAGGACGATAGATATTTGAGGTTTATCCCAATTGGAGGGTCCCACATGTTTGCATGCTTAGCAAATACTTTTTGTACACCTGCACAGTCATCATATGAAGTTAAAATTATTTAGGGATAAAGAAATAAAACAACGTAATAAAATAAAACGCGGCGTCTTGCCAGTGGTTTGTTATCCTTTGGCATCTAAACACAAAGATTCCTCGCCGATACTTCATCATGTTTATAACGCTTAATGACAATGACAAAAACGGGCAGTTTGGTAATTCAAAAATTGATGCAATAATTAGACTGATAATATGGCCTACAAAGGAGTCTATGTTCACTCTTTTATTGTCCACGATTGAATTAATGTCAAAGAAGGTGGGCAAGTGCATTTCCTTTTCATAAAATAAAATAAAATAAAATTGTAGCTAATTCTCTCTTGAACAAAATATCTTGTTCTTTTGTTTTTATATTTAATGTATTATAAGATTTAATAAAAATTTCATTCATAAATGTATTTTTTAATGAAATTATAATATTTAATTTACTTATATATAAAATTTATATGCAGATGGTTCATTAAATATAAATAGTTTCCACTTATTGATTCAATAATGAGACATGACTGTTCTTGAAAAATTACTAGTCTCGACTTCTATTTGCCACAAAAAGGCCCACTATGTCGACATTATTTTGATATTATTCAGATTTCACAATCATTTCAAAACTGTTACTTATGCGAGGGAAGGAAGAATCAAAAACAATGGTCAAAGTTGCATTCGTTTGTTTTTGGTCAATTATTTTAACATGGTAATGATTGTTAAATTTAAAATAATCATGTTTGGCCCCTCCCCTTTCCTCCAAAACAAAGTCTCAATGAATTATTGCCGAGGGAAAGACCTTTATAGTATATTTTTATTTTTAAAAAAATTTATAATTTGTCACCATAATAATTTTTTTATTTGATGAAATGTCTCAACAATTAATGAATAATTAATTTTAATAAATTTAGAGATTAAAATTAAATCTATTACAATAAAATTATTTCTTAAGATTGTACGATTGATTCATTTCTTATTCACCCCTCAAATGTAAAATTCTAACTCCTTTAGTACCTTTGTACTTATAGTTTGATAGATTATATGATATTAAAGTGACGTTTGGTACTTTACAATATAATGTTATTGTAAGAAAAATAACATTACAGTGTTTGATATTCAAGTAAAGTAATAATTAAAATACAGAGAAGATAACATTACAACATTTGGTTTACAAATGTTTTACTGAAAATGTAATGTTAATTTTTAAAATTATCCTTATTTATTAAAATGTAAGTTAATATACTTGTATTTTCTATTGTTAATTTTTATATAATATCATCTCTTAAATATATATTTAATGTCATATATTTTATTTTTATTTTTTATTATAATCTTATAATTTTTTTTATTTCTTTGATAAAATATTTTATATTATATATTTTATTTTAATATTATTTATTTTAATTATAACATTACAAAATATTTTTAACAATGTAATAAAATAAAAGGATAAAAATATCTTTAACAATATTCCAAAGTGTAATGTAATGTGATTGCATTAGTTTTATACTGCAATCACATGTGATTGCATTGTAATCTTACATTATAGTGGTTTATTACAAAATAAATACTGTAATATAAGTAGCGAATGTGCTCCTACTTCCCTCATACCAAACACTACCTAATCTTTTTACACGGAGAATTTTGGTAGTAATTATTCTTTTTTCAACATAAATTACGAAGAAAAGGTTGGTAGTAAAAGTATATTGTTTTGAGAACGCAATCAATAATGTGATTATTAATTTATATACTATGAAAGTTAAAGCATATGTAAAGTAAACTAGTAATTCATGCATCAACAAATATGGGTAGTAGCTCAATAAAGTTGAATCGTCATGTAGTCTTTCTAGCTTTATTAATTATTCAGGAAAATGTATTAAATAAGTAAAATTTTACATGCACGCGTGTATATATATATATATATATATATATATATATATATATATATATATTTGTTTGATTTAATGCACGCCAGCGGCCTTTGCATAAAAAGATGCAACTCTCTTGGTACCCAATTTGGTGTTCATATCCAATAGTCACTTCCTTTTCAACTTTTTCTTATATTTTTCAAATGGTAAATTACAAAATAAAATAGTCATTTATAGTTTTTTTTTAATGTCTAGTGAAAATTTTCATTTAATAAAAGTTCCTAATAATCCTTTGTTCATTGTAGTTGAAACCTTAATCCTTAAATCATAAATTTTAAATCTTAAAAAACATATGATGTAAAATTATGAAAAAAACACAAAATGAGAGATCAATGGAATATGCTATCTGTATATCATTAATGAAATATTTCAATATTGACAAAAATAACTTTTATTGACAACTGTATTAATTGATGAAAATTCATCGATATTTTAATATACCAACAAAATTTTCAACAATATTATTGATGGAAAAATCCGTCGATAAAACTCTTTAATTTTAGTAGTGTTTTGATTTAATATTATAAACTTTTAATTTTATTTCACTATAATGTCAGTGCAACTGCGCCAATGCTACGAGAATACAAGGTTAATATAATCGATTTAATCAGGTAGGATATCAAAATATAACATTTTTTATTCGTTAGTCCACTTTTTTTTATTATGACCTATTTTGTTTTAACATCAACAACTCGGTTACAATTCCGAGAATAAAATCGATATGCTAGTCATCATTAGTCTGGTTGTCTTCCCCTAATCCTGTTCTTAATTACTCTACCTAGCCTCAACTCCATGGGTCACAATCCATGGCTCCTTGCAAGCAATTTCCCACCAATATTTTTATCTGACAAGTTGCACGGGGCTCCTCAATGATTTTTGTTCATTGATTCTATCCTTTCTCCCTGCCTTCCCCCATTGTATATGGGAACACTCTTTCTTTTAACTGATAAAAAATTCAAGTCCAGGCTTGGATTGGGTTTTTTATTTTCGGATAATTAGACTTGAGATTAACTTAATTATCATGATTAAGATTACATTTATCGAGATAATCCGCCTTTTTCCTTTCTTTTGTAGCTGGCATGATCATGAGCAATATCCATATGGAAATGGTGAGACGCGTATTCTGACCACACCAGCACCTGGTGGGCTAGCTTTAGATGGGGACGGGCTCTCCACAGTCGATAAGATGAAAAAATATCGACAGGATGACACAGATAGAAAATGATGCTTTGGTGTTAAGCTAGCTTTGCATGAATTGACGACGACAATAATTATTATTATGCTGGTCAACTGATCATCATGTGCATGCGTTTAGCATGTAATTATGCCTTAACTTGCGTTTCCTCGTCGCTACAGATAGTTTAACAGCTAGGTAATTCGTTCTTGGCTGGTCGAGTTTTGTCCACATCTTGAGAAGGTGGCAGATGTAGTGCCTTGAAAACTTCTTGAATGCTCAAGTTCTTTTTCTAACGTATACGTAAATACAAAAACCCAAGAACCTTAAACTCGATACGGGTCGTTAGGCAAAAGATAGTGGATAATCTTTGATATTGTATCAACGCTTATCTTCCTGTCCCCTCTGTAATTATCTTAGGGTTTGCCGACTCCATGATGATTTCTTTCTTGAATTTCAAAGATAAGATTCATAAACTGTAGATTAGACATTAAGATTATCCCTTTCTACAAAGTTTTAGCAATTTCTAAACACTACCTCTTCCTATCAATGTTTAGTTTTGTAACAACACCATCCAGATTACAATCAGTTTAATTACATCAAATCCGAAATTAATCAAAATTAATATGCAAGAAAGCCATTGGTTTTTTGTATTAGCAACTTATAAGAAAAAGAATTAATTTTATGGCTCCAATTTTTATGGTCTTTATCTGAAAATTTTATCTTTACAAAAATAATTAACATATCAAAAAATCATTAAAAGATATACGACCTTTTATGTTGGTATATAATTATTTATAAAACAGGTAACCACACTTAATCGATGATTGTAACTTGAAATGTTGAATTTGAGTACTCAAGTCAAAACTTCAGAAGGAGAGTTGGAGGACCTGATTAATACCTTCAATAAGCTTTTGTATGTTAGAAAAAGATGCAATGTTTCTTAGCTAGTGTTCTTAACGCAATCTATGTTGATGATATGTTAGAGAAGGAAAAAATAAAAGATTTGGAGCATGATGTGAACCCATTGAACGATTGAATGTGCCAGCATTAGATGAACGATCTGGATGGAGAAAGAGCTGTTGAAATCGATATGTTTTTTATGCACGTGCCCTGTCCATGATCAACATTGATAGACAGATAATACATTATCTTCACCCTCATTTTTCAAAATTCTCTTTAAATCGAAACCAGTTCAAGGAGAATAGACATTACCAGAGCAATGAATATTAGCCACGAGATGCTCATTGGTAGATTGTCTGTTAGCTCCTATTGAAGCTAACTTTTTGCTGGCCCAAGAAATAGCAAATTTGGCAAGTGCATCATAAAAGTAGAGTTTAAAAATAGATAAAGTTGGAAGTTTAGATGATTACAGTGAAGGGTTTTTTTTTTTTTTATGATAAAAAAAGAGGCAGTATTGCAATAAGTAAAATGAGATTTGTTGAAGACAGCTGATAATACAATTATTAAATTAAAACTAATTAATTATGGCCCATAACAATAAAAGGGGGTAGGGGATAGGTATTTGACATGGAAGTGACTACCCTGCATATACAAAGGGATTAGAATTCTATGAATTAAGTATAGAAATATATATTTAAATCACTCAGAGAATCTTGTCGGGCTTGTTGAGATAAGCAAGAGCAGACACAATTGCATTCAGACATGAACATTTTGGTATGGTTAATTCTGATTTTAACAGATATTTTGTTTTAGGTTAGGACAAGGATTGATTGGAATAGCTGAGCTGCTAAAAATTATTGAGGTAGGTCTGCACAATCGGATTGAATCTGCACTTTTAACTTTTAACCTAACAATATGCAAAATGTTTTTTCTTTCTATTATTTAATAAATGATTCTGAACTCTTTAAGTAGAAAATATATGTATATTTCTTTATGTTAAATTATCGGATGCATCATATTCTTTAGTATTTATATAGTTTGAGAAGACTGTGACATTCATGTAGGAGAAATTTTGGTCTTCTTTATCCTTTTGTAGACATAATAGAGTATAGAATTGAATGGCAAGAATGATTGAGGCAATTCTTTCAATGAAACTTACATGAGTGCTGTGCTGTGACCATCTGCAGTCATTTTATGGTCAAGAGTTGAACTGTGCTTACCTTTAGCTCTACACAAATCAATGAGCAAATGAAAATTTTTTGCAGGAATTTGACAGCTTTAATAACTAAAGTCTGAAAGATTGGAAGCCTTTGGGCCTAGCCTGTTCTACATCCAAGACAAAGGGGATTCGAGGTCTAACTGAGTTGGAGTACTAGATTATGCGAGCAACAAGTTCTGGCTGCCAACACGTTCCCTTTCAAACTTGAATTAAGCTGGAGTTTGGCTGTAAATGTGCCAAATGCCAACTAGCCACTGGAAAGTGGAATCAATTCGCTGCAGTACGACAAATGCGTGGATGAACATTTATTACGGCATGTGGTTGCTGCCTTCATAGGAGTGGATCTGCATTAAAATAAACACACAAAAAAGACTTGGACTATATTTCCAGAACCCAGCTGGCCCTGGCCTAGCCATTATAAAATTAATCATGCAGGAAGACATCATTAAAAATAATCCGACCTGCCGGATTCGAACCAGCGACCTAAGGATTTCTCTGAGTGAACCCACTACAGTCCTCCGCTCTACCAACTGAGCTAAGGTCGGATTGATAATTGAGGATGAAGGCTTTTAGAGATTTTTGTTGGTAGAATATAAATGAAAGCTGACAATATAGCAAAACGTGATGTAAAAGCCAAAGTAGTAGGCACAGTGATTTGCTGGAGTGGTATTATAATACTCCAGGAATATTGAAACAGTGATTGACTTGCTAGCTTTGTGTGGCATTTGGAAAGTTACTGCAAAGAAGGATGTTCCTGAGGAAATTATATGTAAACCTGACGAAAATGATAAGTTCACTGTTGGAATTTCCACGGTGCTTGAAGGGCAATGAACAATGACCAGTCTGTTATGCGGCAGCAGCATGCAGAAACTAGTATGGAATAAACTTAACACCCAGATCAGCCTCTAAAGGCATATTACAAAACAATACAATGGATTTTTGGAAGAAAAACTGTGTTACTATATGTGATTTGGCTGATGAGAATATTAAGAACCTCTTCTTTGACTTCCCTTACTCTACTTAGGTTACAGTTGGCAAAAACTCTTTGCAAAGATGGGATAATGAGGTGGACTTGATTTTGCAGAATCATGGAGGCTTGCTTTTGCCCACAATAATCTATACAGGATTTGGGGAGAAAGGAAAAATAGTAGTGTTTTCAATGAGGTGAATCTTGAATGAAGTTGGCTAGGTTATCACAATGAGGATTCATTGTTATTTGTCAGGGATGTTAAAACGACAAAATTGGAGCTTTCCGCTGATGACAGATGACAGGTTTGGAGGCTTCTTTGACAGATGGAAACTCGACATTCTGTTCGCTAAAATTACAAGGAATGCTAGGTAGGCCATTCCTTTTGATGGGATAACCGAGCGTGCCATCTGCTGCTTTAGCAGCCACAGGCTTTCGACTGTCTGAATTATCCTTTTTAACAGCGGGAAAATCCATTCGGCTCGAGAAACTTTGGGCCAGAGTGTTCGTTCAGGGAAAGTTTAAGCCCAACACACAAGGGTGGAAAACTTGGGAAGCAGAGATCCAACCGAGAAAACAACCTCAATAGTTTGTGGAGTATGCTTTTAATTTCTATACAAATTGTAGTTGCAGAAAGTCCATCATCCTAAAGATAAGGGTGTAATTAAAGAACTGTATATAGGGTGGGTAAGAAAACACCAAATAGTGCACCACTGGCTAACTCAATGCCATCTGAGGAAGCAAAATGAGAAAAAAAAGGTTATTTTGGGGGAAATAGTTAGGTGGATTTCCCGTTATAACAAAAGTAATAGTGGATCAAACCCCGCATCCACTCGCCCTAGACTAAAACATTTTCTGTAAACAAGTTGAAAAATAAAAGGGATTTGCTTGCACCAGCCGGGAATCGAACCCGGGTCTGTACCGTGGCAGGGTACTATTCTACCACTAGACCACTGGTGCTAGTTGAGCAGTGAGTTCAAAATTATAAACAGACCTTCTCCAAAGAGTTATAGAAGCTGATATTCCCGGTAAGTTCGGGGAAAATCGATCCATTCATAGCTGGTTTAACCAAAACAAAGGCCAGAATCATTTTAGAGCATCATTTCCTTTCGAAGGAATACAGATGTGGTGGGTGGCAGTTGGATAAGGACAACTTGATTTCGATGATACTGAGTTTTAACTGTGAAAGCACTACCTCTCCAAAATTCCAAAGTCAATAGGGAGTGCGGAGCATCTCCCTGACCCAACCAGTGTGCTTTCTACTTTCTTGGCATTGTAGGTTCTACAGAGACAGAAAACATACAAGCAGAAATATCATGGCTGACATCATGACTTAAACTCATCCTTTAATCATCAAACTGTGGGTTTAAACTTTAACATACATATATATGTACAATGACATGCCCAGCTTTTACAAATTTAACAGAAAAAAAAAAATCTTCTATAAAGCCAACCTCAACTGATATGAAAGAATACAAAAGAATACTGCAACTGGGCATGAAGAAAAGCCCCTCCCAACCTAATGATTTTGATGTTCTTTCATCTTGCGGTCCTTCCTGAGCATGCTTCATTATTGTCCAAATCTGCTATCCAAGGTGCACCATTACCAATATCAATTCAAGCAAAAGTCCCTCTCATTTTAGAAATGATGCAGGATTATCTACCATCCACTATGCTAATGGTCCAAGAGAGAGACATGGATGAGGAATGTAACCGTCGTATATCATCGAATGTGGGGTGTGATGAATAGCCAAAATTTTGTGAGTAATTAGCCCACATATCCCTGGATTTCACCTTTTGCAGCAAATATGCTTCCATATCCTCAGTTTCTGAATCACAGGGCTCATTCTTTCCTTCCAAGACTTTCACTACTTGCCTCATGGTTGGCCTGGAATTTGGATTAGGATATGAGCACAGCAAGCCTAAATGCATCACCTTCTCCACCTCCTCCTCGTCAAATCCTCCACTAGCCCTCAACCGTGCATCTACTGCAGAAAGTAATTCCCCTTGCACCATCAACTGCCATACCCAGTCCACCAAAGGTGGTTTCCCTTCCTCTATAGGCCTCCTGCCACACATGACCTCCAAAATTAAGACCCCGAATCCGAATACATCAGTTTGTGTTGTTGCTCGTCCATTCTTAACCACCTCGGGGGCCATGTAACCCACAGTTCCAACCACACGCGTTGTGCTAGCCTCTTGGCCATGACCATGCATCCGGGCTAATCCGAAATCCCCTAATCTTCCATTCATATCCCTATCAAGCAACACATTGCTGGCCTTAATGTCCCTGTGTAGAACCTTAGATTCCCATCCCTCATGTAAGTATAACACAGCCGATGAGACATCCTTCAAGATTCTAATTCTGTCTTCACAACTCAACATCTTGCTCTCATGACAGTCATGATAAACCCTCTTGTCCAAACTTCCATTCTCCATATAATCATAGATCAACATGAATGTCCCTTTTTCTTTCTTGCACCAACCTTTCAAAACCACCAACCTCCTGTGCTTTAGCCGCCCAAGACTCGAAATCTCTGCCAAGAATTCTCTCATTCCATCATTTGTATGTGAAATGCACTTTACAGCAATCTCTGTCCCTCCCGGTAAAACACCCTTGTAGACCTTTCCATTTCCTCCAAATCCAATCACATTTTTCTCCGAAAATCCTTTAGTTGCTGCATCGATTTCTTGATATGTCATCTTATGTGGCCAATACTCAAATTCCCAGTCTTCCATTTCCGCTCTCTCCCTTGCTCTCCTCCTTTCCCTCTTAACCAAAAACAGAGCAAACAGAGCAATAAAAACAAGAATGAAAAAACTTCCCACCGTTACTCCTGCAATAAACGATTTATGCTTATAAAATGGAGTCTTCGGAATAGCGAACGACGGTAAACCGGTGGTGATCAAACTTTCACTTAATGAAAAATTTGAGTTACTAAAACTCCAAGCCAAAATTCTATGACTTTGAACCAATCTTCCAGTTGCTGAAGTGAATCCAACATACATTTCATCCTCAAAAACATCAGATAAATTCAAAGAAACATTTAACAAAGGACGCTTGGGCCTTTCTACTCCTACCGGGCCCATAGTAACATTAATAACAGAATCTGCATAGTCAATCCAAACTTGGTAGTTCTTACCATTATTTAGCTTCAATTCCTTAAAGCCCTTCTCCTCGTCATCACTATCATTGCTGTTGCTGCTGCTTTCCATGTAGTCAGGCCAATAACCAGCCGTGTGGGAGCTTGTGGACGTGAGGGAGTTAAGGTCAATTCCCACATGGTTGTCATCTATGTCACCGAATTCTTGGTTAGCAAAAACATCGAATTCGACACCAAAGACATGATTGCTTTGATTGCCGTTGTTGGTGAGGTTGAAAAGGCCTAGATGTTGGGATGAGCTTGTCCCACTGATGCCAGTATTCGGTGTAAAAAGAAAAACTAGGCCGTGTCCTGGAAGAATATCCTTGTTCCTGGAAGGAGCCAGAGAGAAGATAAAAGAAGTAGAAAAAGGAAGGACATGAGAAGAATTTGGAGTCTTTGTTGGGATTTTTGGTCTGTACAGAGCTCGACCAACGACAAAATCTGTCTCATTGGTGAGTGTAAGTATTCTAGAATCTATACCGGCAATACCATAAAGGGAAAGATTAGCTGAATTGAAGCCATTGAAGATAAAATCAACAGACAAAACAGATTGAGAAAACAGGATTATGAACAAAAGTAGAAACAAGGGAGGCTTTGGATGTTTGTTCATTGCAGCAAGAGCAAAAGCCTGAAGAGCGTCTCTATCATGGGGAAAATCCAGGTTCGATGAGGTAAATGAAACACGGAGGGGCCTGGGAAAATATGGGAGAGAAATTATGGAAAAATCACGTTAGCTGACATGTGAGGTTTGAAAGTCCATAGTCAAAACTTCCTTAACGTGTTCAAGTTTTATGGTTTTGCCGCGTAGATGATTACGATATCGCAGAACTGCGAATTGGGTTTGAAATTCTAAGGTGGATTGCTGTGCTCTGCTTTTTGACAAGTTGTCTGACATCTTATCCAATAGCTGAAACCTCCAAAATGAATTAAATTGACTATCGCAAGTGTCAAATTGGCTTTGATTTCAAACAGGTAAAAAGGGTTACATTTTTCGCGTCGGCTGCTAGTTGTCTTTGTACAAATTCAACGCGCTGCCATCGCATAAAATGGCCATAAGTACTTGACTGCTTTGATGCATTGCATGAATGAGACTCTCAACCTTCAAAAAAAATTGGAGCTGATTCCCAGACAAAGTAAGGGTTTGATTTTTTTCTACTCTTCCTTTATGATCTTCCAATCACACGTCTCAAAGTTAATTAAATGCACACATATGTAGCTTATCTCTCATTCCAAATTCAGTTATTTGCTTATTTAAACAATCCTGTATACCAGTCAGCTTCCTAGAACATATTGAAACTCAAAAAGACTAGTTAAGGTTAGTACTCGAAGGCTCATGAAGTACAAAATGGATAGATTCAAAGAAAAGAGGTCAAGAACACATTTCTACCAACTTGTAACTTCGAAGGGAATCTGTCATGGCCTGGGACCCATGTTGAACCTTTATTTTGTAAATAAAGAAAAGGGGTGTTGGCATCATGAAGGTGCTATAATTGGAATTCATCCACCATATAGCGATATTTTGCCATGATTGAAGCATTCAATATCAATCTACTAATAACCTTTGGAATGAAATCCCTGTTCTTTGACATGTCTTGAGCTCTGCTTCAATAGAAGAAGAAGGTTATATTGTTTCACTCAATAACATGTTCTTTAATCTTTAGCCAATTTTGAACACATTATTTACCGTTCAAAGAAAAGTAGTTTAACTTTGTGGATTTTACTCCATGCTATTACTATGATACTGACAGAAGAAGTTCTTGTGGCAGAGGATGAAGACACCCACGTGGATTTGGAACATCTGAATATATTTCCATCAAAGTATCCTGGAGGTGCTAGTAATCTAGCTTTTCATAATGTGAAAGGAAGATATACATAAAATGAATCTACATGTTCATGCTCTAATAAAAAGTACAAGGCATACAAATTATGTACCAAATCAAACAGTTGAATGGGCATTATTTGGACCGTCATATTTAGCAGGCAGAATAATGAACCATGCTTTCTGAAAGGCTTTCCACAACAACTCTTAAATGTCTGCGTATGCTTGGTCATAAATATCTTTGATACAAAAAAACAAATCCATACAAAATTCTAGACGAAACCATTAGTCGATTTCGTTAGCCTTTTCCCTTGAATGTTTCAAGTATTTCGGATGCAAGCGTTCTTCCCACAGGCAGGCAAAAACAGAAAACATTCCATGCTTTTGGCTAAGAACAATCAGCTCCTTGGCAAAGGCTGTCTGCTGTCTGCTGTCATGCCCTGCCCAGAGATCTGATTTGCTCAACAAGCCAGCAGGCCAAACAATGTTGACACGAACTCAATCATCAAATGAAACTATAACATAGACAATCAACCAGTTAATCATCAATTTCAGCGTATACCAGCATTTTTCTGTTATACATTACATTTGATTTGATACAAAATGTGAAAAAGCGAAAGGTTTATTCTCTGGACAATGAAAAGAAAGTGACCATATTCCTTCCGTTCTTCCCCGTAATACTTATTTCTAGTCTATAGTAATTTGGTTTTGGCCGTTGGTAATGGGAGACCAACTCTACAGCTCAAAAGTCAAAATACCACCAAATTAAATTGACAGAAATATGATCAGGTGATGGAGTTTATTGACCAAAATAGATCTCATTCAATTCTCAGCATAATTAAGGGTGCAGGGGCGGCTAGTCACATTGGGGAACTTTGATCTTATTTTTCTATATGCAAAGTCAAATTCATGAAGAGATAACATCTTTGATTTTTGGCAGCATTAAATGCAACTTCGTCCTTGGAAGATAGCTTGCTGTGGAGTAAAATGTAAGAAGGAAAATCAAAGAACTAAAACAGTCCTCAGCTGAATGTTGAAATGCAAGAAGGATAGCAGAGGATAGTAGCAACTAACTCGCCGCACAGATCCCGGAATTTGTTCCCTAAAAATCTATATGCAGGAAAAGATAAATTTGCATGACAATTTTGGTCTATTTATCAGAAAGAAATAGCAGAAGATAAGAACAATCAAATTACTTCATTTGTTGACTATATCTCAAGGATAAGAGTAGAAGAAAAACGTTTCATCAGTTTGGACATTGAACTGATGGCTACCAAATTATCATTCACCTCAACTCAAAAAAGATCAAACAAGAAAAAGAACATAATCAGTAAAATGATGGAAGAAAATTTTAGTGGGACTTGTTTAACATGATGTGTTTCCTACATGGAATTTAGTTCTTAGATATTCTCTACTTTCACCATTAGGAGACGGATAGAAACAACTCTGCTTTGCCAATATGATATTGAAGAATGAACAGAACCCAGTTCAATATGATTCTAAAGATGTCAAATAACCATTAACCAATGCATAAATATTATAAACACAGCCACAGGGATTAAAGAGTTGGTGCAGAACAGGCGTCACTGCTGTTCTGCATGAAAGTCATTAAATTTCCATCAGGGCCCAAACTCTTAACATGAAAATTTCAACAATGGCCCATATCTACATTCATTCTTAGCCCATGTCCAGTGCTTAAGATTAACAATCCTTGTAATATTGCTGAAATTTGTTCTATTCTAACAGCATGGTCTCGTCCATTGAATCTTCACTTGCACTCAAATGCAGGTTTTCACAAATCTGTTAAGCTACAGATCCATACTTCAAGGCCCAAGCAAATTTCATTCTGTCCATGGAACAGCAGAATGCGAAATTAACACTTGACTTGACATTCGGGTTGGGCAGGTTGAAATGAATATCAGAATATTGATTAACCTCCTAAACAAAAATGCAATGACAAGACTTCGGAAAATCTCTTACCAACCAATATCCACCATAGAATTTAAAACAGCAGTGGTCTTCATTTTCATGAAATTAATAACAAATCAACTAGAATTTTATAAATTCTTTTGGCGTTTTGGAGATTCTATGCAGGGCTGAAAGGACTGCCATGAACAGGAAAATTGACCTTTCCAAAAGGGCAAAAAAAAAATGCAGAAATTATGTATGAATGAGAGACGGATTAGATGTGAACGTGTAAGACATCTTAGGGTAAATAAAGTTGCGGTGGGTGCTTTAAACAATAGATTGTTGCTTGCCAGATCAATTATCATCATTGCCTGTCTCTCAAAATGTTCATTACCACTGGAATTAGTCATGGTTTAGTTGCTCCCTCTGAGAAAAACTATGGGAAAAGGGAAGTGTCATCCCCCGGATTTGAATTTTACAGTTAAAATTAGAAGAAAAATGCCAAGATAAGGCCATGTTTGTAGAACTGATTATGAATATCTTCCCCATTTCTTTTTCCTTCTAAATTTTATTAGGATTGCCTGCACTTAAAGATATGATTGATTAATTTCTTTTTAATGTTATTGCCATTGTTCTAAGTCCGATGCAAAGGGGGCGGCTGGAATGCAGTAAATCATCCCCTCGCTACCTCAACAGGGTACTACAAAAGCATTGTACATCACTTCATTATTTTCTTAAGCTAAACAATTGAAGAATATATTAATACATATTTTATTCTATCATTAATTATCAATTTCATCATATCTTGTTACCATCGGAATAAAACTCTTTCTGCTGTGCTGCATGCTCCATACTCAGATTAATGCCATGCCTCTGTGCACAGATTAATGCTCAGCAATTGGGCATGCAGTTTAACACCTTGGGTGTTTGATTGCAATCAATGACTCTTTCTCCTACTTCTCTCCTATACTTGCCAGTTCTCTTTCCATTCAGTATCATCTTTTTCAACTCAATTTCCTTCATTCAGCAATGAAAGAAACAGGAAATTCATCATTGGAAATATATAATGATGGGAACATATCATGTTTTTCAACCCTGGGGAGGGACCTGATGTCTGACAGAGATGGAGAATTCAATCCCATTTAACACCCATAACTTAATCAAAATTTATTTCTGACATTGCAAATATCCCTTGGAAAACTAGACCTGCCCATTTGTTTCAAATGGTAGTGGGATGCCAGGCTTCTCCATCAAAAGATTGGTCTTTCTTTATTGCCTTGGAAATTAAGACGTTGACATCCTGAATTTTAAGTCCTTGATTGAAGATTCAGCAGCTCACTTTACACATGGGAGAAAATACTTTGGTATTATTCCTAATTATGAACAGTTTTAGACCGTTTTGATTCAACTTATACTCTGATAGAAGCAATGTCAGAGTCATATCAAAATTTAAAAAAACATTTTGAGAGGTCATGGTTTTAGAGATTCCATGCATTATTTCCACAATTAACAAGCACTAGTTAATATTAAATATTAATTAATTAAGGAGGTAATAAAATAGAAATATCAGAAATAAACATTTCATTCCAAACATGATTGAAGCATAAGATATTGATTTTTTTTAGATTAATATAGATTTATATTTAAAGTAAGTTTATAACAAGGCTTGAACCATGCACATGTCCTCCCCCATTTTTCAGTCTTTGAAGTAGAAAACATGACCCTCCAACCAGCACAAAAATAAAACAGTTTTTTTTTTTTGTATAATGTCTAAGAAAGCCAAATTATCCACAAAATTGGTTTTCAGGGTTAATATAGAATTTTTTTTAAACAAATGTTACCCAACAATTTAGTTTAATTATCATTAACTCAACAACTTTTCAAATCTAAATCATATAATGCTCATTTAGACATTTATATAAATTTTTAACAATTACATTCATGTTTAATAATATCAAACTTTAACAATACCCTTTTTTGCAATAGAAAGATAAAAAAATTACTTTAAGTAAAACTTTATTTAAGTCCTCCACCGTGTAAAATGGGTGAAGTGTCAAACCTGCTAATGTCAGATTAATTCAAAATTAGTCAACAGAAGTTGCTTAAAAATATTATTAATTCAGCCTTCAAAGCCAAGTCTGGGATGAAGGTCTGGCCAGCAATTATATTAAAAACCTGGTGCCTGTGACAAAGCATATTCCAAGATGTTTTTACAGACCCAAAATTAAGAGTAATTATTCCAAAATATGGAGGCAACTTGCCTCTTTGACGTTAATAGAAAATAATTAGCCATTGAAATTAAGTCCCTCCCTCCCATTCCTTTTCCATGTATTCATGGATGGTCCCCTTTGAAAACCATGGCTGACTGAAAGCAAGCGTTAAAAAAATTTTATTACATGTGAAACAAAGCTGAAACAGTGACAGTAAGATAAACAAGGAAAGAGAGAAACAGTTTTAATTTCCCAACAAGAGCAGAAACCTCAAGCTTGATGTGCTCAGTCTGTTTACCAAACAAAACATTTGCTTGATAGGCATAGTGTTGTCCTATGTTCTAATCCAATCGGCAAAAACATTTTTCATTGGAAATTAGTTTGACACATGTCTTGCTTGGAAATACGGTTAGCCTTTATTTTATTACTGGAAAAGCCAAAATGTCAAACCATCACCGTCCGATTGTTTGACATCATGGTCCACATGGGGCAGATTGACGTATCAGGATTTAATTATATGTCACATTTACGTCATAAATTCGTCATATTATAAATATCACTATGAATTTTCCCCATTTCCGCAATATCCACTCCCATACAAAAGCTTGTAATAAGAGAGATAAAAATTATATTTTTAACTCGAAAATTGTGATCTGAGATTTGATCAAAGAAAACCCCACTTCCCTCGATTTCATAAAACCCTTACCAACCAATCAAAAACTGAAAAACCCAGGTTCGCTTTTCTGCATTTGTTTTTTGAAAACTTTTTGATTATTGAACTGCATTTGACTTCAATTTGGGTGGCGCCCCAAGAGTCGTGTGAGGGGCTTGTTTTTGTTGAAGTGGGATTTTGTTTTTTGTTGAGTTGTTTTTCGAGTGATGAAGTTATAGGATTTAATCTTTTTTGTTGGGTTGATCATTTCATCGAGTTAAAGAAAGTTTGATGAGAGGAGTGAGATTGGGGTTGCTAATAAAAAGGAGGCAATGACTGGAGGGTCATTGGGGATTCGTTCTGGGAGTTATGGGTCTTTGGACAAACAGCTGCAAAACGGTGTTTTGCCAATTCAAGCGCCTTCAGCAACAAGAACTAAGCCTTCTAAAATGTTTAAGGAAAAGGAGACATTGGTTCATTGGATCTGTAAGTTTGCTGGCCGCAAAAAGGTTGGAATGCTGCTCCTTTGTGTCATCTCCGCTGCCGTCTTTGTTTGGGTCTTATATGTTGGCAAAGGTTGGTTTTTTCTTTATTTCTCTTCGTTATTGGATCGGTCATAGTGAATTTTAGGAATGAAGTGATAGTGAATTAGTGATTCTTAGGCAGGTTGTTCTGATATTTTTGATGAAAGAAGTGGGGAAAAACTATGTTTATTCTGTGCAGTTACGTTGGTTAGAGTTTAGTCATAAATTTATCGTCTTCAGTGTTTAGGTTTGGTTATAGTGTTTGAATTAAGAAATTGATATCTAGAGTTTTGCTCAATGAATTCAATTGAGTTAAGAACATTGTGCCTGCCCACTTTCTGGAGGAGAATAATATTAATGATTGAACTCAATTGAATTGCTTTTCCTTGTTGTCAACCTTGGAATATAGTTTTAAATTTTCATTTCACTGTTTCTTATGGGTTTTATTAGTTTTGATCAATGTTAGATTCAAGCACGAGGATAGTATGGTTTGTTCCTTCTTTATATGCTCCTTGTTTTGCTTTTGGATGATATGTCTTTAGCTCAAGCAGGTTACTTGTTATTCTTGTTTTGGACATCTAGCTCCCAATTGGTTTTACTTGTGTGATGAAATGATATGCAAATTTGCATATATTTTGGCTTGTTTATAGGTGAAGATCAGGAAAGTGACAATGTCCCTAAGGTAAATGATAGCTTGCCTCTAAATAATTCTGGATCTCCCCTGATAAATGAAGTGCAAAGTGTCAGAATAGACAATTGGACATCTTTACCAGTCATTATGGAAGGAACTGAAGTTAGGGTAATGCCCCCTCCTCCTCCTTCATATTTTCTGGGCTACACTCTTCCTCCAGGGCATCCATGCGCTACTTTCAGTTTACCCCCTCCACCAGCAGACAAAAAAAGAACAGGGCCACGTCGTAAGTTTTCTTTTCGTTTATAATTTTTTTCTCAATATTTTTAATTTAGTATTTTGACATTATTAGTTGAGGTTTTCCTCAAAATATAGTTTTTGAGTTTTCTTGCTTGTTTATGATACAGCTTGTCCTGTATGTTACCTTCCTGTGGAGGATGCTATTGCCTTGATGCCAAAAGTCCCATCATTTTCTCCAGTCATTAAGAATTTAACTTATATTTATGAGGAAAACTTAAATAAAGAGACAGAATTTGGAGGTTCAGACTTTGGTGGGTATCCTACTTTAAAGCAGCGTGATGATTCATATGACATAAGAGAGTCGATGAATGTGCACTGTGGGTATGGTTCACCTCTTCTTTTTTTGGGGTTAAAATTTTAAAGTTGAACATGATTTGGTATTCTTAATCTTTTTAATCGTATTTGCTGGTTTGTCAATTCTGATTGATGTGCGTTGTGCATTTGCTAGATTTGTCAAAGGAAGCAAACCTGGCCATGGGACAGGATTTGACATCGATGACAATGATCTTCTTGAGATGGAGAAATGTCATGGAGTGGTTGTTGCATCAGCAATATTTGGTACAGGACTGTACTATATTTATTTTATTGTTCCATTCCTGTGTTGGACCCAATGACTTTTTATTGAATAATCCAATTCTTTTTCAGGGGCTTTTGATATCATACAACAGCCAAAGAATATTAGCGAATATTCCAAGCAAACTATCTGCTTCTACATGTTTGCAGATGAAGAAACAGAAGCTGATTTGAAAACTAATGGTGGTCTGGATGAGAGTAAGAAGATTGGAGTATGGAGAATTGTTGTTGTGCGTAATCTTCCTTACACCGATGGAAGGCGCAATGGAAAGGTAAATGTTTAAAATGTGGATGTTATGTCCTTTGAGTATAGATCAGAGTAGTGAATCCTGGGTTTAGTAGATAGTGACGATGAAAATGGTCCACATTGCTTGATTCATTCTGTGAGAATGGGGACCAATAAGTTTTATTTGGTTTTGGCATAACCTTACTGAAAAGAAACTGAGATAAGGCGTCAACTAGATCCCTCAATATCCTTCTATGTGTTATTATGCATAAGAAAAGAAGCTTTATGCCTTTTGACTCATGTTATGCCTGTAACAGATCCCAAAGCTTCTACCACATAGGCTATTTCCCAATGCACGTTTTTCTTTGTGGATTGATGGGAAACTTGAGCTTGTTGCTGATCCATATCAAATTCTTGAGAGGTACTTTGGAATTCTGTTTACTTTCCAAATTTTACAAGATTCTGAAGTCTTATGCGTTGAGGTTGAGTCTAAAATCACGTTGTAATCACTCTCATGAATTATCTGATGTTGAAAGTTTTGGCCCCTGTTCAGTAGTTTTCTTCCAACTTAGGAATTACCTTTTTTATGTATGTTTTGCTTTAGTTGGTTTTAGAGCCAATGTTTGTTTATTCTAACTCTTTCAAGTCTTCCGTCAGGTTCTTGTGGAGAAAAAATGCTACTTTTGCAATTTCTAGGCATTATAAACGCTTTGATGTGTTTGATGAAGCTGAGGCAAATAAAGCTGCTGGCAAATATGATAATACCTCCATTGACTTTCAGGTTGACTTTTACAAAAAGGAGGGTTTGACCCCATATTCTGAGGCTAAACTTCCTATCACAAGTGGTAGGGTGCAAGATGCTTGCTTTTGTTTCATTGTGTTTGGTTGTGCCTCTTTCAGCTTAATGACGTTTGCTTTAATGGCTGGCTCTGCAGATGTTCCTGAAGGATGCGTAATAATAAGGGAGCATGTTCCTATTAGCAACCTCTTTACTTGTCTTTGGTTCAATGAAGTTGACCGTTTTACTTCTAGAGACCAAATTAGTTTTTCAACAGTGAGGGATAAGATTGCGGCAAAGACAAATTGGAGTGTGAATATGTTTTTGGACTGTGAAAGGCGCAACTTTGTTGTTCAGGTATTAATTTTTCTGTTTTTATTTTATGTTCTGCATTCTGAATTATGGTTAAGTAATTTAATGTTGGAAATTTAACAAATGGACTCCCTTTCCCACTAATAATAATATGTTACAGTTTAGTTTCAAAATTTCAACAATGCAACTAAGTTTTTATGTAGGGATTTTCTGTAATTGCATATGTATATCCAGGAGCGTTTAACTGTCACTTGAACCTAATTCTATTTATTTGTTTCTATTTCTTTGATGCATAAAGCATAATTACTGCTGTAAATTGGCCTTTTATGACAATGGCAGCCTCTCTTTTTATAGCAGCTACTATCTTTCCATAATGATAAAACTATAGAATCCTCATTGAATCTCCAATATTTTGGTTGCTTGTTTTCTTAATTGAGGGATGAAATCTTTTTCGTTAAAAAATTAAAATACTTGAAGCTCCAAATTTCTAGCTTTTGTTGTGCCTCACAATTTGTAAACTGTGTTTCAAACATGCTTCCATTATATTACTTGATGACTGATTCTTTCTTCCTGCGGATGCTGTGGAAAGTTGGTACCGCTTGCATCACTTCCATTTTAGCCACGGTTGAATTTGCATGTAGGATTTGATAGAACCTGCAATCTAACCTTCAAATGTAAATCTTCAATTCCCTTGAGCAACCTACTTTGGTTTGATTTCTTGACTTGATCCCCCAACTCCTCCCCTCCCATCTTTCTGATGCACATCTCTTTCACCTATTTGTTACTTGCAGAAACACCATAAGGAAGTTTTAGCACATTTGGCTCAAATGGCTCTTCCTACAATTTACCCTCCACCGTCACCGCTATCTTTGGCCAATGATCCACCTAGACTATTTTCGCTTGAAACTTTCAGTGACCAGTTTGTCAGTGCTCCACTCAGAGAAGGTCTACAAGCGTGGGAGAGATAGGAGGTCAGGTTCTAGGCATCACCGCACAGGTGTCAGGGAAACAATTCAAGTTAAAATTTTGTTGAGGCAAATTACCATTTTTTTTCCTCCCTGATCACAGAAACTTCATCGCGGGGCTGGAAGATCATGCAAGTGGTTATATTCTGTTCCACAAAAACTCAGTCTCTCCATTTTTCCCCATCATTTTTAAATTTGGCAGTTGTCTATTTTCATTCATTTTTTTTTGTTATGAATAGGTCCCAATAATTATATAAATGTATATGGGGTACCACCAAATTCCTCCTGTGGTAACTCATTTTGTTGTTTCAATATAACTGCAGCATTGTATTGGGACTCAAAATTATTTTAATATTATTGTTCTCTCTTCCTTGAAAGTCAATAAAATACAATGAAATTCCATTAGCATTCTTCTTCCCTTGTTCTTTCTGGTATTCTGTTTTCACATTTGCTTTATGCCCCCTGCCATGATCTCCCATTTCCATTGATGCATTTACTCTTCAGACTTTCAGCCACTTCAAGGCAGGTAAAAGTCGCATAACAGATCCCTTGAACGCCAAGATTGTCGACAATTGATTCAAGAAGTTGGTGCTGAAATCAAACAAGAAAGAAATCCAAGCAAATGAAGATTGATTAAGATCCTTCCTGTCAAATCTCCTTCTTTATCTGTCAAACTTAAGCAAACTGTCAAAGGATGAACAGAACATCCACGATTTGACGTTCGCGTTAGCACTACAGGCTTGCAATGAACAATGGCTAATCGTATTTAAAAAAATTTCTACGCAGCGGGGTAAAGGGATACCAATAGATTTGGACAAAGCTCTTTCTGAAGTCCAGTGGATCTTGTCGGCAACTTAGAATCTTCCAGGGTCCTGACAAGACAAGTGGATTATTTCGTGCCTCCACGAGGGTCCCCCCAGTCCTTATCTTCGGAAAATCTCAGCAAGGCAGAATCTTCAAACGCACAATATCAGTAAAGCACCACAAAACGTACGACCTTTTTTTTCATCTTCTCCTCTCCTTTCTGCTTCCTGAAATGAGCTTAGGGTTAGGGTTTAATTCACTGCGACCATGGCTATTTTAACAATTCTTAGCAACCGTTAGTTCAAATTTCAAAAAAAAAGAAAAGCAAAAGCCACAGAAAATGTCATTGACATCATCGTCGTAACCGTCACCGTCATCGGCAGCCTTCATGTGATTTGTCTCCTCTCCCCGGTGATCGCCTTAACGAGCGGCGCGCTCATATGTTCACAGAAGGAATCTCACACTTCACACACGGGATCGAGACCGCCACGAAATCCTTGGCTCGACCCACATGATCAGCTCTTGATCCGGACCTCCGATTCATTCCTCGGGTTTGCTCTATTCGCAATCGGGTTCTTGTTGTTTATGGTCTTTTTTGACAAGCAAGAGTTTCAGTCTTTCTTTTGCCAAAGGTTGCGTTTGCAGTTTTCATGCGATGTGGAGGTTCTGGTTCGAGAGGAGAGTTGGGATTTGGCTTGGATTGTTCTAGACAGACAGTTGGCGACTTCTACTGGCTCTCTCTTGGGTATTCTTTTTGGTTTACTCTTGGAGAGAAAGTATGATTAGATTTATTTTTCTGGTTAAATTTACTGTTTCTTTTTGTTCCTCTTTCTTAATACAGGTGATTTTGATGGTAACTTGGAGATGTTTTGTGAAGTTCGTATATTCGGGTCCTTTTCAAATGGTGTGATTTGGTGTGAGTCAGATTCAAGAAAAAATATTTTCCCTTGTGGTATATTTACACTTGAAATGGTACACATGCTGATTTTAAAATTTTTCTTGGTTTTTTTGGGATAATGGAACCTATTGAGCAATGTGAAACGTGATTTGTGAATGGAAGTTCAAGCCAAGTCCATTTGTTGTTGTGGTATGAATTTGGAGCAATTGGGGTGTTTTTGTTCTTCTTTCTCTTTGGAAGCTGAGATCCAGTGCTCCTTTTATTTAGTTGCTGAGGAAGATATCTAGTAAAGAGGTGAGATGGGCGGAGGTACTATGTCTTTCTGTTGGGTGCATAATATTGTTGCCATGAATTGGGACTGATATCTAAAGAGTTGTTTCCTTTGTTTACTATTACCCATTAGGAACGAGATAGATTTAAAACCAGTAAGTTGTAGTCGATATGTGTAATGTGATATAACTTGGGATACAAGTGCTTGCTTGTATGTGGTTATTATAGCTACATCAGCATGAGGTTTAAGAAATTGCCAAATTGGAGGTCTGTCTTGGTAGTTAGAATAGAAGTGGCAGAAGCATGTGATGGTACTGAATTTTGAGTTGCGGAGTTCAGTTGAAGCCAGAGTCTGATAATTCCTAACTTTTTCCCATGCTATCTTTTTTTTTATATTATTATCATAAAAATAGAAATAATGCCTCTAGTTTGATCTGGATAGGAGTTTGATTCTGTTTTTAAAGTGTATAAGGATGTTTGTGTTTTCAACCACTGTTGGTTTGATAACTTTATGTATATATAATTCTCTCATAAACGTGACAATGTTCAGACATAATTAACAGCTACTCAAATATATGTACATGTTTATGTCATGACATGATTTTAAACTGCTATTTTTCTTGCTCTAGTTACATGATTATTTATTCATCTTCTGTTCCAGTTGGGCTTCCAGCTACTTAATCTCAATTCTATTGATTATTTATTCATTTTTGTTCCAGTTGGGCTTCCTATGCTAGTTATCTCATTCTACTGGAACTTGCTTTGATCTTGTAGTACTGTAAATGTTTCTCCTCATATGCTGCCTTGAAGGTTTTTTCTACTCGGTTCTCTATGCTAACATCTTTAGTATCGTTTTCCTCTGTTTATATGAGTTCTTCTTGGTTCAAGGTTGATTGCAAGCAATTAAAGTAGGTAAGGATTGCTGAATACTCTGTTGTTTATGACAATAAATATGTATCCTTTTGGCTGTGCTTGGTGAAGATTTGAATTCATTGAAGAAGGCCATGCTGATTAACTACTCTTGCCTGGCATTGCCTATCATTAGCTAAATTGCACATGATAGGATCATCGTTGCATCTGAGGCCTTGAGAAGTTCAAGGTGCTAAGTGGGCTTATGCAAGCCCAAGAAAAAGTTGAAGGCGAGGGCCAGTATCTTTGGAGACTGAAGCAGAAAAGCTTAGGCCAGTTACCCCTGACTTGGACGGCCATTAGCAAAATGGGTACTTTGCAGTTGGCTGTATTTGTATATCTGCTCTCTTCCAACAGAACCTTACGGCCCAAACATGATCTACTTCTAATCAAAATCTCGTCCAACAAAAGCCTAACAAATCTCAATTGATGGAACTATCATTGCAATGAAAGAGTGCTAATCTTCAAGGCTGATGTGCTGATGGCCGATAGGGATCCCAGTGAACACTTGATTAATCAATGCAAACAGTCAAAAGCTCTTTACTTAAAATTGCGATGACATTTCTCTTTGGCCATGCTTTTTGGCAAACGACCTTCTCGGTTTTAGGACGGCTGATATTATTTGTGAGACTCAAATCCATAATGACAAAAAATACTGAAAAAAAAAGCAGTAAAAGTCATGACATGCGTCTGCATGCAATATGGAAGTGAATTAACTCAATTGAAAAGACAGAGACAATCAATACCAGCTGACCATGCAGTAAACACATAACTACGTATTATGTTACATCACTCTATACTAAGCTACGTCGCTTTAGCTTTTATTGGATGGCCCAACTATTGTACTAGAATTTTCGACTGCTGTACAAAAATTCTGCAAGTTCGTGTGAAATGCTGATTCTCATGAATTTCCCACTCATATCGTTACGCTGTTAGGCACTCCTCTGCAAGTGACTCCAGGTTTTGAGGATGGCACGAGTAGGTCATAAGGAGAAACCCCAGCCCCACATCGATTTCTAAGCTTTGGATCGGCGTTTCTCTTTGCTATCTCTTCTTCTACCATTCTCATATCCATTGAAAATCTGTAGAATGCCTCAATAATCTCTGAGTCCTCTGTCCACGTTGATAGGTCTCTCGTATCTCCTAAATACTCTTCATCCGATGAATGTGTGGATAGAATATCAAGCACAGACATCAGAAATGTCATTTCTCGTAAACTTGGCAATGATGATAGGAAGTACCCCTCTGGATCCGCAAGGAAAGTTGCGTACTCCGGATCATGCTCATTTGGCACTAGCCGCCGCATATATGATGGACGTACGGGGACATATCCGCCATAATGATACTGTCCGAAATTCAGAGCGGCATGTTCGGCTGATACAATCCAGATAATGGTAGTGAGAATGGAGACGAGATCCTCGGGAGTTGAAAGCCTGGGCCACCAGCTTTCATGGCGGATATCGGCATGGCCTACATTGATAAATTCATAGTACCAGGCGTTGAGTTCTGGATCAAATTGAATATGGTCTGCGCTTGGGTAGTAATGCTTTACAAAGTCCCTAACCAGTGTCTCAATGGCGGACCATATAAGCAACCCATCATTGGCGTATGGGTAGTCTTCGATCAGTAATTTTAGGCCATGTGGCTCAGTTGGGTCTGGTTCTGCTATTCCCCTGCTCAGAAAGAAAATGAAATTCAAGTTACATTTCTTTGAAAGCAACAGCGTACTTCTAATTTCGTCGGACATGTATGGCTCTGTGTATCTAATTATATAGAGTACCTTCGAATGAGGTCTGCGGGGAGGGTTTCCATGTCAAAGCGCCAATTTTTGTAAGCAAAAGAAGTGATCTCCATTGAGACTTCTTTAGTGGAGAAGAGGGACTCAATTATTCCTCCAGCACTAATGAGAAGCTCACGAGCTCGTGCATTTATGTCCATTGTGTATCGCATGTGAGGACGAAGAAGCTTGTGAATTGGATGCATTACACTTAAATGGCGATGTGCTGCTATAATAAATGGTTCCATGCATGCATGAGTCCGCAACCTGTACAAAGTCATGACAATCAACCCCTTTATTAGAATCGAATTATGTTCAATATAATTAAGCTAAATCAATACTTAATTGAAATTATAATCGTTGCCATTGCATGCATACCAATGCTGAATTAGTTCGTGAGCTCCAGAATCGTTTGAGCAGACATGGGCTTTAGCTAGTTGCCATTGCCAGCAGGTGGTGGCATCAATTGGAGGCGTGATAACCTGCTTCGAAGGAATATAAGGGTTCGCTGGTGGGAGGCAGAGCTCAATAGCAATTGGCTTCAGGGTTCCCATTTGGGTCAAGAACAAAATTGTCCTAGTTGCATAGGCTTTTCGATCAGGGTGAGCATTGATGCTGTTGAGAAATGGAAGGTAAGTATCATGATAGTCCAGTATGAACAGCTTATTCTTTTCCATTGCCTGTAAAAGAAATTCAAACCTTAAACCATAAGTATAAGATCCATGAATTAAACACTAATTAATAGCTGTAGGGAAATTATATAACCTGTTTAAGAATAATGCTTCTTTTAAATACTACCCTTCTCTTATTATTTGAGGAAAGATTTTCATTAAGATATTCAACAAAATCAAAGTGACATGGTCACATGCAATGGATGATATTGTTCAAACGACAGTGGTCCAAGTTCACGTAGTACAAAAAGAAGCCACACGTTCTTCTTTTCAAATCTAATTAACTAGGCAGTAAAACAAGACACCGTTACTACAGTCTACAGACAACTACGGGGGGTAGACAAATATATATGCACGTACTAATAGGAACCTCAGAAAATTAAAATGCCGCTTCAACTTGTAAATCTAAGCAAGTCATAAGTCAATAGCTTAGCTTTTTGTCCCCTTACCTGTTGTACAGACATCCCATCAAGATGATGAATGATGTGTTCTTCTCTTAACGCTGACTCTCGTGGACCATAGAGAGACGGATCCAGTTTGCTTACAGGTGGGAAAACCTGAAAGAAAACAATATATGTTTGGTTAAAAATCTTTCAGTTTTTCTCCGTGTTCTCTTTGAGTTGATTCTAGCTAGTGTACTGAGCAATCGCAACGAAATGCTCCTACCTTGAGCCTCTCAATACTTAAGGGGTTCATACCGGCTAGTGTTAGACGACCAAATTCATCATCTCGTAAGCAACATGATGCATCCCCTGGAATTGAAGCAGTGTTTCACAATTCTATACCCAGTTTCATTAATTTTCCTTATATATATATATATATAGAAAGAGATATATATATATATATATATATATATAGAAAGAGAGAGAGATTTCTCAATTAAAGAGCAAGAATTTTGTTCTTACTGGAGACAATATTTGGAGGGTTGAACCTAAAAGCATCTGCCGTGGATTCTTTGATCATCTTATTAAGCTTAATTGGGAAACTTGCTTTCTTCGGAGATTCTTTCCGCTGGGACTCATTGGAAGGATTCTCTTTGTAGAGTTCATTGATTTCAGAGAACGTTATAGCCCCACCATCAGTTGAGGAATCTTTAAGGAAAGGAAAAAAATTGTTGACCATGCCTTTCCAGCTTCCTGCATCGACTGCTTGTCTCTTCAAATCTCCAAATGCTTCATCTCTTGGTACATACATTGGCAGGGATTCATTTACCGGGCCCTCTGCCTTCGGATCTGTGCCAATTTCACCAACATTAACATATTAATTATTTTTTATAAAAAAATAATTAATAAATTATCAATCAAGCAGAATCTAATAAACCTCACCTGACTTGGTGGAGGGACGTCCGGTTCTGCAACGCCTTGGATAAGGACGATGTTGTCCTCCTAAAATCGGCCTTGCATGTTCTGTTCCTTTATCAGGATGTCCCAAATCATTGTAAACATCATAATCATAAATTCGATCCGATACTGCCCGAACACCTTCTCCATTGCCCCTCAGTTGCCTTAATTCTTCTTTCCTCAACACTTTGAGTCCTGCTGGCGTTTCACTTGGTAAGAATGCCTGCCATAATTCGCAAAAACCATGTTATTTCAGGCATTTTTACAAGATTAAATTAATCCAAACGAAGGATAATTTTATATAAATGCTAACCTTATTAGAAAAGAAGATCCTTTTCCCCGGGTGGAGCTTCTCCGGTTGAACCCAAGAGTGACACTTAAAATGAACAAGTCCTTCGATGGTGATGCTTTCCAAATAGAACTCCTTCTGGTTTTTGTTGCTCACGAGGATAGCTCCAGGAACCCCCAAGTTCGCATCTACCAGAAATTGCACTTCGTGGCTGACTTTGTCAGCGGTAATGTGTAGGTCTCTGGACCAGTCTAATACAGCTTCCTTGCTCAACTTTGGCCCTCCCGTTCCTTCATTGATTTCACACATCAGAAAAATGTAAACAAAACTTCATGCACGGACACGGGCAGTTAGTTGAATGTCTTTTCATGTAAAATTGGCATGAAAGTGCATGCACCCCAAAACTTTTCACCGATGATTCGAGAGGGATAACCATTTAGGTAGTTTCTATGCCAAAAAAGATTACGGTGGAGAGGAGTTTGTTGTTTTTCATATCTATGTTGGAGAGAGAGAGGAAAGGGCCAGACACATGAAAACACGTTATTATCTCTTCCTCATTGTACGATGACACTGATTGAAAGAGAAAGTAGAGTATGCGGTTGCCTTGTGTTTGCTAAGCCTTATATGTTTGACTTATCCTCACCTTCCTTATTAGGCTACGTCTCGAAATTGAGTTTACTAATAAGGTTAGATATCTTTATTGTATAATTTGTACTTGGATTTAGGTTGTTTATTTCATTAGTCTAAAAAAAAAGAGAAAGCGTTATTTGAAAATGGAAGAACCGGTGCTTACTAGGGTCAACATCAGTGCTAACAAGCTGAAGAAAAACCCCTCTCTGAGTAGCTTTGGCACCAGAATCCAACAAATGAAACACCATCTCCTTCATCTTTTCCTTAGCGTCATACTTAACAGTTACCTGCGCTGTGACCGTGAATTGCACTGGAATTTCCGGGGTAACCTTGGTGGAATCAAGCTCAATGAGAGTCTGCATGGGAACAGCAGGAGCAACTGCCATAACCTTTCTCAGTTGCACTGCTCTCCTCTTGCACGTATTAAATGTAGACGTAAAAGGAGAAAGGCTGTTTTGCTGCTGATGAACAAAATTGTTACAAAGCAAAGATTTTGAAGGGAACAGATCCGCTGGGGCTGAACACAAAATTTCCTTGGTTCCTCCCATTGCTCTGATGATAATACTTATGCAATAGTTTTCAGTCTCTTTTAGCAGCAGAGGCAGCCTTCCTATAGCTAATTAAGCAGGTGATGCTAGCGCTGGCTTCTGCTTCCAATGAAGATGCTACCCATTTTATAGAAAGAGGAATTGAATTAGAATCAACGTAACCTAGGAAGGTATTTGTCTTCGAGAGTTCAACATCCATTAGGAATTACCAATTGTGAATCACGTGGTTACGTCACGCTCTTACTTCGCTTTCATAAGTTTGTTCGGATCAATGGAATTATCCGCGTGCTTGTTTGTTTGTTTCTTTGTGTTATAAAATATGAGGTGAGGAAAATTTTCTTTCGTAATTATTTTTTTTTTCTCTCGAAAATCAGAATAGTTGTATTCAAAAGGATCAGATATACACCGTTAGCCTCTTGAAAACGTATTCACGGGGTCACTACAAAACAACACATTCATGATCACACCAAACTAACATTTCCAGAACAACAATTCAGGCACATTCATGATCACACCAAACTAACATTTCCAGAACAACAATTCAGGCAGCATGAAGGACTCATAGCTGTACACTCAACCCTTCAACAAAAGTAGAAAACCAGACCTTAACTTGCTTGTGGAGTGAATGAGAAATTGCTGTATACGGTTGACGCATCGATCTGGCGGCAACACAAATCCCCCAGGATCCTGGATGTACTGCAAGATATTTGTGTTGCAGTGCTCTGCTCAGAGGTTTTAGCTCATTAGCTCCCAGGTGTGCCACAGAGAAGTAAAACGTCCCCTGTTTTTGATTGGCCAACGACCTGTTTAATGAATCCTAGCTTTTCAACCAAAAAAAAAAATACACTTGTTTACGTTATAAAAATTTGTGGTGAGGGGATTTTTCTTTCATAATTTCAATTGTCTAATTATTTGTTAAAGAATGAATTAAAGCGCATGACATTACTTGAACCTAAATTGAATACTAAGGGCACACCCACGTTTATTGGAGTGGTATTACAAGACATCATTCAATTAGAAAAATATTTATTATATTGTATTATTTATTTAGAGTTTTATATATTTATTAATATTAATGAACTTATTAATTTTTGTTTAATTTTATAGAGAATGGAGTTAAAATTTAAATTTTATTAAAAAATTATATATTAATAATATTTAAATATTAGTAAAAAATAAATTTATCAAAAAATAATTTATATATTAATATTTAAATACTATATGCAAAAACAAAAAAAAAATTTATAATTTAAGATTTTATAAAAAAAGTCAAAACTTAAGTTGCTCTCTCTTTGTCTAAAAATTGAAATCCTACCATTAAAATTTGTATTGACAGTTCCTCTTCTCAGTTTTTGATTATATTTTTCACTCTCTCAAAAGAACTCAATTAGATTTAAATTGTAAGTAATTTTCAATTCAAATTAAGATTTTAAATATTTCATGTCTAAATATATTTTGATTAATTTGGTAGTTAGGTTCATAATTATAATCTAGCTAGTGAAAAATAATATTATATTTTTTATTTATTTTGTAGATATTGATTATTTGATTTTTATATTTAATTTTATGTGGTTTGTGAATATTTATATTTAGTTTTGATCAATAAATAGAAAATTGTTATGCAATCTTTTCAAAATATAAAAATCCATCATGAACAATTATAATGTTTTTAAATATTTTTATTTTAAAATATTAAATTAACACACTAAATTTACATTTTTTTAAATTTAATATTAAAATTTATAATTTATAAATTTTAATATATTTATTATTTTAATTATGATATCATTCAGAAAAATTTCTTATTTGAACATCTCCTCTATTATCGTGGGTTAAGTTATCCAACGCCAAGAAGCTTCTCATGCCCAAATTAATTACTAGAACTTAAATTTTCATTGAGTACTTGAGTTTACACAGCCAAGTTATTGAAGTAATTAATGTCACATTTGGTTATAACTTTTACTACTCATTTTTTGTTTATATTAATCTTTTATTTTTTACTTTAATTTTATTTATTTTTGTGAAAAAATAAAAAAATTAATAAAATATCATGTAAGTAGAGCGCATGTGAGTTTTGTACATGGAAAAAGAGTACAAAAAAAAAGAATAAAAGTTATATATATATAAAGCCATTTGAGTTAAGAAGAAGAAGAAGAAGAAGAAATGTACTTATTATACTATTTACCTTATCTTCAAGTAGATTAAAAGTGAGCAGATCAGGATCAAGAGAGTCTCTTCCAACAAGTTGAACTTTTTTTAATATAATTTTCTTTGCCTTTATGTCGTTAATGTCTTGATCAATAGCATCACTTGCTCTTCTCCTTTGATACGTAACACTTCCAAAAGTCTTGTTGGTAGGATATTGCTATGGAAAATATGAGTCAAGGATTGTCAACATGGTGACCCCATGCTCTAACCTAAGCAGCCCTTGCTCTAAGCAATGGTTCCGTTCCAATCGTGGGGACAGAAATTAATGCAAAGCCGGGTACGGTTTTCGAGAGTCAAATTAATTTAAGTTTTGCTCTTTCGAAAGGCTATAATTCATTAAAGGGCCACTGTCCATTAAAATATCCGACGAGGTTTGATGTCTTTATGCAACGCTTGGGCCACAATGAATTCGAACCTCTAAAGCAATACTATGCTGACAAAACACCCGGGCCCTAGAAATCCCAGCAAACAAACAACATCAACAAATTTGGATCACCGCCCTATCAAAAGCCTACATTACGTAAGCAACAAAAATACCAGACATAGCAAGTTTGACTCCTTACCAAGGCTTCTCACCTTATCAATACAACCAGAACATATCAATTGAAACACTAATTCATGTGAGATAAAAAATGCAACTTCTTCCCCTACCATACAACCCAGACATGTCAAATTAATACAAGTCAATGCAACTAATTATAGATAGTATGAACCGACCCTTTCTATGTCCTAAACCTTTTCCTGCCATTACATTGTAAGGCATTAAAAGTCATCTAAATTACGTGATTCAATTGTAACAGTGTAGATGCCTCCCTACCTAGGTTCAGTTGTGTTCCACTACCTACTATCTAAAGCCTCTGGGGGAACTATATTAACCTTTCAAGAGGACTTACAATTTTATATATGTTAAGAAAGAGTCTAAATCAGAAAAGGAGTTTCCTAATTACCTTAAATCTTAATTAATATTATAACCTTTAGGCAAGCATTGATCGATAATTTCACTTAATTATGTGTAACAATCATTGTTTGATTGCATTATATAGTAGTAAATTTGACTTTGTAACAATTTTTCAAAAAAAGTTAAACTTGAATAATTAATGAAAAATTACCTTTTTGATTAATCTAAGGTATTTTTTTTTCTTTTTGTCCATATTTTTCCTTTTCAAAGGCAAAAGATAATTCATAAAAAAAAATAATTTGCAATTAACTCAAGACAATTAATTATAAAAATATTTCACAACCCAAAACTTAAAACCCTTTTTACCAAGTGAAGTCTGCATGATTTGGATAGACCTCCTTTATGGCTTTATTGTCATATATTTGCTTTGTTTTTTGTGTGACTTAATTTTCTTGTTTTTTGGCAGTAATTTGATTTTAATGAAAAAAAAAGGTTGAAAATTGAAAAAGCATGGATCACATTCTATCTATGTCTCTGTATATGTTCCAAACGCACACGCTTCTCCACTGTATTATGTCGGCCCAGTCACGTATGGTCCAACTCATACATGTTTCATCCTGAAAAACGCAAGGAAAAGCAATTTATCATTAAAAAAAGAAAAAAAAAAGGAATTATTTGGAGTAATACATCATATACAAATCAAATTTAAAACGATCAAAGTTATGTACCGTATATAAAAATCAAATGTGAAACGATTAAAGTTAATTTTTTTAACTTAATATTGATGTGAATTTTAGAATTGTTTTTTTTTCTTTATAATAAGATTGTCAATATAATTTTTAATAATATATGTAATTATATATTTTATTCATAATCCTATAATTAAAAATTTGTGTAATACAATTGAATCTACCAAAGTGATATGAAAAATATACAAAAAAATGTTAATAAAAATATTTTTAACATTCTAACCCCATAAGCAATCACATTAGTTACATAATATCTACAAATATTTATTAACCGACACAAAAATATAAATTAATATATGTATAGTCTGTTTAATAAGTAAATTTAAACAACTCCATTATCAAATTCCAATAATTGAAAAATCGTTTTTATAATAAAAAACAAATTTTTTGAAAAATCGGGTTACGTAATTTATATTTCAAAACTATTACACGTAAAAATTATGAGGCACTCATTTTCTGTGGAATACACAAAAATAAGACAAATGTTGACGTAACAGGGCGGTGAAATTGATCATTTGTTTTGAAGTCTAGGCTATCACGAGGAAAGTTCAACTGTTCCGACTTCCGCGTGAAAGAAGAAAAAGCCAAAACTTTGTTGCCTGTGATCAGAATTTCATGACAAACATACTGCTTCTATGATATTTATCGGTTCAATAAACGTGGTCGTTTTTTCTTTTCAAAAAAAAAAACGTGTATTTAATTTTATTTTATACCCCAAAATTAGAGAAAGAACTTCGATAAATGTGAACAAACGTTTTTGTCAAATTTTATAAATAGACTAATTGAAATTCTGATTTGGTACACATTTAAAAGGTTTTTTTTTTCTTGATATAAAGATTAAAACCTGGATTTAGCAATTAGCCTATGTAAACATATTGCAAAAATTAAATTAAAATGGAAAATTTCAAATATATATGAAATAGTGCCTTAATTAATTTCTTATTTGATCATTTTATTCTATCATATTCCAATTAACAATCTCTAAACTTTGAAGCCTCGGTTAAGATTTTCCTCTGTGGCTTGGCTTGTTGATGCATAAAAGAAGATCAAGGCAAGGCAAATTACCAAACACAGACCAAAGGCAAAATCCCTTCCACAATCTTTAATTAATGTCCAAGAAATGAATGAGAAAAAAAAAAAGGGAGAAGTGAGAACGAGAAATTTTAATTACACCAACTTTATGGGAAATAATAATGAAACCTATGTCCATTATTGAAAAAAGAATATGGGATGGATAAATTACAAAAGAAATCATGATAATTTAATGCCATAATAGATATATATGAAATATCTATGCTTGGCTGTATTTTGTTTCCAGGATTACTGCTTAAGTTTATAGCTTCCTAGGCTGTGGTTGATTTTTGGTTCCGATGAAATTGAATTTCTCAACTGCTATCAACAACTTGAAACAATCAGGATAAATTGTAATTTTTTCTGGATTGATTAATAATCTTCATAGTGATGCACTGGTAGGCACTCCTCTACAAGTGGCTCCAGGTCCTGAGGATGGCAAGAGTAGCTCATACGGTGAAACCCCAGCCCCACATCTATTTCTAAGCTTTGGATCAGCATTTCTTTTTTCTATCTCTTTCTCTATCCTCCTCATCTCCATTGAAAATTTGTAGAAGGCCTCCAGTATTTGAGGATCCCCTGCCCAATTTGAAAGGTCTTTTCTATCTCCTAGGTACTCTTCATCAGCTGAATGTGTGGAAAGTATATGAAGCACAGATATGTAGTGCAACATTTCAGATAAACATGGCAATGATGCCAAGAAATACCCCTCTGGATCTGCAAAGAAAGATGCATGGTCTGGATCACGTTCATTTGGCAATAGTCGCCGCATAAATGGTGGGCGAACTGGGAAGTATCCACCATAGGGATACATCCCAAAGTTCACTGCGGCATGGTAGGCTGATGCAACCCAGATAATGGTGGTGAGGATGGAGACAAGATCATTTGGAGTAGAGAGTTTGGGCCACCAGCTAGCATGGCAAATATCAGCATGGCCTACATTGATGAATTCGTGATACCAGTTGTTGAGTTCTGAATCTGATTGAATACTACTTGCCTCTGGGTAGTAGTAATTGACATAGGTTCCAACAAGTTCCTCAATGGCAGACCATATGAGCAACCCATCATTTGCATATGGGTAGTCTTCGATAAGTAGCTTAAGTCCGTGTGGCTGGGTTGGGTCTGGTACTGCTATTCCTCTGAGCAGAAATAAGATTTAGACTTAAAGAGTTGTATTTTCGGAAATTATTATAGAGACTACTTTAACTTTTTCATTAATCCCATATGAAAGGAGAGCAAAAGTGTATTTACCTTCTAATGAGGTCTGCAGGAAGGCTTTCCATGTCAAAGCGCCACCAATTCTGATATGAGGAAGCAGTAATCTCCATTGAACACTCTGCAGTAGACAAGTGGGACTCAATTATTCCTCCAGCATTGAGGAGAAGCCGGCGACCCTGTGCATTTACATCCATTGTGTATCGCGTGTGAGGATGAAGAAGTTTGTAAATAGGATGCATTACACTTAATTGCCGGTGTGCTGCTATGATTAATGGTTCCAGGCATGCATGAGTCCTCAACCTGCAAAACGTTCAGTTGTAGTTGAAAATTAATGGATAGTATTATAAACAACTATTGGTGCTACAGTGGGCTTGCAAAAATACCAATGCTGAATCAGTTGATGAGCACCCGCATCGTTTGAGCAGACATGGGCTTTGCCTAGTTGCCACAACCAGCAGGTGGTGGCGTCAACTGGAGGAGTAAGAACACGCTTTGCTGGTACATTCTGGTTCTTCTCTGGGAGGCTGAGCTCAATGGCAATTGGCTTTAAAGATCCCAAATGCGTCAAGAGGAAAATTGCCCGAGTTGCATAGGCTTTTCTGTTATGATGAGCATTTATGCGGTTGAGAAATGGAAGGTAAACATCGTGGTAGTCCAATATAAACAATTTATTCTCTTCTAGTGCCTGCAAAAGAAGTTCAGATAAAAAACATAGGATCCATGAATGATTATGCAGAAAATTGTATTGCTTTTTCTTCTATTAGAAAAAGAAAACCAAAGTACAGAGTCAGGACTAGAAACTAACACTAGCATCCAAAAAGAATCTGCAAAACAACTATTGCCACCAAATGAACTACACGATAATATCGAGACAAAAGAATCAAAATATTACAGGCAGGGAAAGAGAAACGACAGGCATCAAAATGTATGTATGGATTGTATATGGATCTTATATCTGTCAATTAGCAAATGGGCATGGCTATAGCTCACAAAATGGTTCTGAAAATTCAATCAAGCTAGTTGATTGGTTTTCTATTTTCCTTGAATCTCTTTCCATACCTGTTGTACAGACATCCCATTAAGCTGGCATACGATGTGTTCTTCTCTTAATGCTGAATCTTGAGATCCATGGATGGAGGGATCCAGTTTGCTTACTGGTGGAAAGACCTAAGGGGAAACACATTTTCAGCAAAAAATTTTCTAAATTTTTTTTTCTGTCTTGTCATTGAATTGTTCTTTTAGTACTAGCCAATTAATAGTAGCAAATTAATTAGAATCGATTCTTCTCACCTTGAGCCTTTCTATGCTTAAGGGGTTCATGCCAGCAAGTGTTAGACGTCCCAATTCATCATCTCGTAAAAAACATGATGGATTATCCCCTGAAATTGGAGCAGGATCATGTTTCGTTTTGAAGAATTTCATTCAGAAGCATTGGACTGGACTGCCCCAATTCCAATACAATAATTAAAGAGCAAGAAATTGGTGCTTACTGGAAACGATCTTTGGATGGTCAAACTTGAAAATATCTTGCACAGATTCATTGATCATCTTATTAAGCATTCTTGGTAAATGAGCCTTCTCCCGAAATTCATTCTTTGATTTGAGTTCAAAGGGTGCACTCTCTTTATAGAGATCATTAATGTCAGAGAAAGTCCTGATGACATCACTATTAATTGAGGCCGCCTCTTTCAGTGAAGGAAGTAGACTGCTAAGCATCAACTTCCACTTTCCTTCAGTGACTGCTGCTATTTTCAAATCCTCAAACGCTTCGTCTCTTGGTACATACTGTGGCATGTATCTAGTTACAGTGGACTCCGCATTCACATCTGTGGCAATATGTGAGAAAACCAACATCTTTAGTTAAGCTCAAAGCAATGAAATAACGAAATAAAAAACAAAACTAAGCTTACACCTGAACATTTGGTTCAGCAAGACTCAAATCCCTTTCTCTCATATCAAAGAAAAAGAAAAGACGGAAAGATATAGGCTTGGGAGAAGAACATATATGTACCTGAATTAGCTGGAGGACGTCCAGTTCGGCAGCGTCTTGGATAGGGCTGAGTTCGGCCTCCTAGGATTGGCCTTACATATTTGGCTCCTTTATCTGGATATCCTAAGTCATTATAAACATCGTAATCATAAATTCTATCTGACAGAGTCCTAATACCCTCTCCATCACCCCTTAATTGCCTTAGATCCTTGTCTCTGAGCTCTTTGAGTCCTACCGGCGTGTCATTAGGTAAATATGCCTGGCGTATCCAAAACAACATTGCAAAATTAAACCATTTCTGCCCAACATATATATATATATATATATATATATAGGTATATATGGATTGGTTTGTAAAATGGAAGAGCAATTTAGCCAAGAAATATTTTACAAAGCAAAGCAAAGGTCAGCCAAAAAATTCGCCACCTAAAGGAAATTTTGACAAGTATTTAACATGGAACATAACCTTTTTGTTATAAATTAAATTTGAACCTTGTTTGAAAAGAAGATCCTTTTCTCTGCCTGGACCCTATCTGGTTGAACCCAGGAGTTGCAATCAAAATGGACAAGACCTTCGATGGCAATGCTTTCCAGATAGAACTCCTTGTGATATTTGTTAGTCACGATAATGGCTCCAGGGACCCCAAATTTTGCATCTACCAGAAATTGAACTTTGTGGGTGACTTTATCAGCATTTACTTTCAGATTTCTGGACCACTGGAACATAGTTTCCTTGCTCAGCTTTGGCTTCCCCAACTCTTCAAAAGTTAAAATTAATCAAAGTTAGAGAGACAGTCAAAGGCAAAATTGGCTAGCACATAGTTGAACTAGTGTTGACCTTAACCTCAAAAGAAAAGTGTAAAGAGATATGGAACTAAAATAAATCTTGCTGCTTAATCATTAGATTGAATTATTTTATTTTTCAAAACAGATTGTTCATCCGATATTAGACAGTTGCATGCACTGTTGAAGCTAATACTTGCATGCCGCCTGCAGTAGCAGTTTAACACATGTGCAAGCTTAACTTAAGTCCTCACCAGCCATTACTCTTCTCAGCTAATGTATTTACGTGTTGTTATGCATGCTTAGTTCGTAATGCATTTTAACACGTCTTATGCATGTAACAAATGTTGTAAGCTATTATCCCGTATTAACTTCTTGTAATTAAATATCTTTAGCAACCAGTAATTAAATGGATGAACTTCAGGTCTACGCTAAGCATACTTTGTTCATCCCTGTTTTCTTTGCCTGTAACAGAGGCTGCATCACGTAGCCATATCTTGACTTCTCCCAAAACACAACATGCTATCAGAGCCCAATTTGAATTTTTAAGGAATCAAAACTTTGAATATCACCACAAAACCGTCCAAACAACAACCCGTCCTTTGAGCATGACAAATAGTAGTACCTTTTCTCATCAAATGCCACCAACCTTTAATGGAGTCAACCACTCCATTTGGCCTGAAAAAAATGAGAACCTACATAAGGGCCTACAACATTTGGGGTGTGGTTAAAGCTGGAAATAAATCAAGACAAATGCATGTCTTGAATCCATTAAAGGAGTTTGAAGTCTTGAGAATGAAGGACAACGAAGCTATGAAGGAATGCAGGAGAAAATCTGTCTGATGTGTCCATACTTGAGATATTGGAAGCTAAAATCTCTTCATTGGAAGAGTCAAAAGATCTCTCCAAATTGACACTTAAGTTGTGACTGCACTCCAAGCTATAGAGAATAGGAAAGCAATATGCATGGACAACAACACAGAAAATGTTTTGACAATCAAGTTCAAAGACAAGGTGCTTTCCGGAAAACCTTTGAACAAAAGGACATGCAATGAGTTTGGACACGCAGAGAAGGTTTACAAGAATAAACTTGAGACACAAGAAAAGCCAACTCAGACAGAAGAGAAGGCTAATGCAGTAGAAGAATATTTGTTCAGGGTTATGACCTAAACCAAAGTTCTAGCTTCTGAGAAATGAGTTGATGTTTCGCATACAAGTATTAAGGAGGAGTGTTGAAGCTAATACTTGCATGTTGCCTACAGCAGCAGCTTAACACGTGTGCAAGCTTGTCTTTGAAATTAACAACATATTTCAAAAAAAAAACACGTGTGCAAGCTCAACTTAAGTCCCTACCAACTATTACTCCTCTCAGCTAATGCATTTACGTGTTGTTATGCATATTTAGCTCTTAATGCATTTTAACACTTGTCTTATGCATGTAACCAAGTGTTGTAGGATGTTATCCACGTATTAACTTGTTGTAATTAAATGCCTTTAGCAACTAGTAATGAAATGAATGAACTTTAGTTCTTTACTTAGCACATTTTGTCCATCTTGTTTTCCTTAACTGTAACAAAGGCTGCATTATGTAGCCATATCTCGACTTCTCCAAGAAAACAACACGCACCAAAAAAATCAAAACCTCTCTCTTTTCCTCTGTTCATAGTTCTTTCCCCCAATAATAAAGGTAACAGTTTCATTCCTTTTTCCTACTAGTAAACTATTTTCCTTCTTTTTTGTATCTTCTACAAATGACAATATTTATTCTGAGTTCAGAATACGGTCCTAGTAGTTGGTAAACTATGGAAAAACATTTATCCTGGTGGGGTCTGACTTTGGGGAGTGGGGCAGGGCCGACACGCGGTTGTTTCAAACTTCAATTGCATTAACATCTACGCCCTTTCGTATCTGAATCTTATATAGTTGTCAGAAGGGACATTTAAAATTGTGGCAAGTTGTACACAGGAGAAGAAGAAGGTCCTGCTGTTTTTTTCTTTCCCTTTTTTTCTTTGTGGGGTGTGAAAGCCTGGAAATGCCTTGTCAACTCAAAATCATTTACGTCAGGTTGGCAACTCAGTGAAATTAATTACTAGTAAACTTGACCATTGGTTATCGGCCAACCCTTTTGTAAGACCTAGCCGTTAGCCTTTCCTTGTAGCTGCGGAGAGCCAAACCGTCTCCGCACCGTCGTGCCAACTACTGCACATCCGGAAGTACTACTCCAAATTTGCCAGTGGAAAGACAAAAGAAGAATAAGAGAAAAAACTAAAAGAAGGTAATGGCCTTATGTTAACGACAGAAACAGGAAGGTGACCATGTTTGCTTTGTGCTTAAAGTATTCCCTTAAAATTTTCTTTCAGGTTCTCGACAAGCAAACCATTAATTGAGAAAGACGGTGCTTACTTGGGTCAACTTCAGTGCTGACAAGCTGTAGAATAACACCTCTCTGAGCAGTATGACCGTCGGAGTCTAACCAACGAAACATCATATCCTTGACATTTTCCACGGTGTCATACTTGACTGTTACCAGAGCTTTCACCTTGAATTGCACTGGAGTTTCAGCCTTGATAAGAGCTGCTGCCATGGGAGCTGCAACCACCTTCTTTACTTGCACTAACGTGCTCTTGCGCGAGTAAGGCAAAGAGTTAGGAGAAGAAACGTAGTTCTGCTGGTGGCGGCGGACATGGCTACAGAGAAAAGATTTTGTAGGGAGTTTGTCTATTGTGAGTGAACCAAAGATGTCCCTGGTACCTGCCATGACTTCTTGAATATAATTTGCAAAATTAACGTGAAAAGATGATGCTCGCTGATTCAAGTTTAGTTTGCCTCCCGTTTTATATGTTGCAAAGGAGATCCATTAATAAACTCAGTGGGACTAACTGCTTTTTCCCTTTTTCTGTTTTATTGATCACACACAAAATATCTATCCTAGTTACTTTTCCCTACCATATTCTAACTTTTTAAAATAGACAATATATATATATAATTAAATTAAATATTCATATATATCAAATTTTTTAACTTGACCTTTAAATTAATTGAAAATTCTGAATTATTTTATAATGAAACTAATTTTGTGTAACCAATGCTACCATATTAATTAGATCTCTACTGCCCTGTCCGTTGAAGGGATTTCATATTTATAACACATTCAATTTTGCTGCTTTTTACCTGTGGTAGCAGGTCGAAATGTAAATAAATTATTATTATTATATATATGGATATCCATAATTATATGACTTAATAATATTGAGTTTGAGTATTTTATATTCAATTATGAAATAGATTTAGGTAAGGCTTTTAATACCCAATTCGAGTATAGATAAGTTTCGAACAGCACTTTTAAAGTACCTTAAACTTGACCCAATTATACATATATATAATGTTTCAAAATTTTGTAATTTGTGCGATTTAAAGCTTTATTTTCTTTTTCTTCAACACAACTGTTGTCATCTTATCTGATTTTTTTTTATAAATTAATAAATATAAAATTATTTTTAAATATAATTTTTAGTTATTTATATTATTGTTTGAGTTATTTAATCAAGTATTTAATAGATTTGGGTAATTAAAGGATATTATTATATTATTAGAGTTTAGTTTTGAATTATGTTATACAATTTTATTCGAGTTTTAATAAAGTTTGAATACCTTTATAATTAAATGGATAGAATCAGAATCAAGTATCTCAAAAAAAAATATGGATACCTTACCCTCACTTTCTTTGATAAATTTTTTTTTAAAAGGCTTTTTTTGATAAATGTGGCTTGTTTGTAATAATGCTCATTGAATGAAAAGAGATCAAATTTTAGTCGTTCATAATAGTTTAATTAATGTTCTTTAAAAAAAGTATTGTAATTAATGTTTTCCTTTTGTGTTATCAATCATGTGTTTTTATACATATAAGCTCCGTTTTATTAATATTTTTAATATTTATTTTGTAAAAAAAATGAAAAGAGCATTAAACAAACATATCATAAAGACCACACTTGGCCTTTCAAACCTACCTACTACCTACCTAGCTCTAGAAGTGAGCGAAACCTAAATGGACCCAAAAAAAAAAAATAAAACACTTCTCCTCCAGCCTAATTAACTCATAGGAACATTCAATGATGAATGAGGAAATAGGTATAAGTGCAAGAGGTAATTGAACTCTTTGGCTGAGAAGGAGAGAGTACTTTATCTTATAGATAAAGTTTGAAAAGCTTGAAGGTATTATAATTCTAAACTCTAAAATATATATATATATATATATACTATAAAATAAATAATAACAGGTTGTAAATGTAACCTTTCTTGGTGTAGCTAGTTGTAAGTTGACCCATAATAAATAGAATGTCTAAGAGGAACCCAACTCTCAAAACAAGCCACTGCTCCAGCTTTTTGTTTATTATTTATTTTCTCAGTCAATTGGTGTCATTTTATTGAACACAAATTGACATTACACAACCAAGGGCATTGCCCCAACGAAGCAGACCCTGATCAATCGATGAAAGACATCCGACAAGGGGAATAATACCATGTAACACCTGAAAATAACGTAACAATACGCATTAATCTTACACTTCACACACATGACACACCCAGCCAATAGAGATAGAGAGACACCATTACTGAAAGCTCCCATACTGCAGATACTGAGATGAAAGCATACCATCCCACCATACAATCCCACAGCACCATAAAACACTGAGCCTGCAGAAGATACCGCAACACATAAGGCAGCAACCACACAGAAATAGTCAGCGTCATAGAAACATCGCAACAGGTAAACCACCACAATTAAAGCACATAAAATTATCAGCAGCGTTTACAGAATGGTCATAAAACAGCAGTACGCCAACATAGATCTCACCATAAGGCAGACATCCAAATCACAGATGTTACCACCAAGCATAAAACGTGTCATTCATGTCAACCCCGAACTTGGCTAACGAGTCAGTCATAGAATTAGCTTCGTGCAAGGTATGCACAAAGGAAATATTAGCAATACTAGCACAAAGGAAATCAAACTCATTGAACAATCCCATTGTTTTGTTATTGCTTTGATCATTGTTTGAGTTTAAAAGAATCTAAATCCACTGTGCTACGTAAATTTTCAAAAATTCTCTTTTTCAAAGTTAAACCAGATTAAAGAAACTAAAAAGATTAAAAGAAAAGTACAGGTTGTAAAGGGTCAATGATTAATTTATCTTTGATTTTTCTTTTGATTTCGATATAGGTTTATCAACTAATTCAAACCCTCCAATGATTACTAAATATCTAAATTCGTTCAAAAAAAAAACCTATCGAGATTATGAGAAACACGAAAAATTTGCCTTGCACTCTTTTATCAATTTAAACTAAAGAAGATATTTTCTTCTTGATTTGGAAGGTGAGTGAGGGTACCAACTACGGAATATGAGAATTAAAGGAAGTGCTACAATTCTCTTTATTTCTTGCTTTTTCTTCCTTTTTTAAAAGTGAAATTAGATTTTTTTTAAGAAAAAAATCAATAGGACACTAATGGTGGATATCAGCATGGCCTACATTGATTGATTCATAATACCAGGCATTGAGTACTGAGTCTGATTGAATTTTACTTGCCTCAGAGTTGTAGTACTTTACATAGTTTTGAATAAGGTACCCATTATTGTGCATATGGGTAGTCTTCAATAAGTAGTTTTAAGTCCATGTGGCTGGCTTTGGTCTGGCAATGCAATCCCTCTACACAGATAGAGAAGGAATCTTATACACTATAATTTCTGAAATTATGCAGGCTTTTATTTTTAATCCAACCAAAATTTTCAGGTCGAACATTATTTGGGGTCCAGATTGCTTACAGGCCGAAGTGTCCACAAGGAAAACTCTTCTTCAGTAAAAAAGAATTGTTCCATAATTTTCAGTTTTGTTATCAAAAAAGCTTCTAATTTTTTGGGAATCTTTTGCTACATGCAAAATTTGAAGTAAAAAGAACTGGTTATGGTCACCTTGAGCCTTTCTATGCTTAAGAGGTTCAATCCGGTAAGTGTTTAGCCGGCCCAATTCACCATCTCGTACGCAACATGATGGCTCCCCTGGCATTGTAGCCGCCTTTTTTTTAAAGGATTAGTCGAGTTCCTCAATGTGCTGGAAGTAATCTTTTTTCAGTAGGACACAGAGCAAGAAATTGATGCTTACTGGAGATGATACTTGGTGGATCGAACTTGAAAACGTCTCTATTAGATTCTTTGATCATCTTATTAATCGTTATCAGAAAATGAGGTTTCTCTCCAAATCCGTCTTGTTTATGTGACTTGATTTCAAGGGAAGGGCTCTCTTTATAGAGATCATAGATTTCAGAGAACGTTTGGATAGCAGCATTGTCAGTTGAAACATCTTTTTGCCATGGAACCAAATTTTTAAGCAGCCCCTTCCTCTTTCCAGCTGCGTTTGTTTCTTTCTTCAATTCCTCATACGCTTCATCTCCCTGAACATTCATAGGAACCAATTCCTTTACAGGGGACTCTGCATTCACATCTGAGACATACTCATGAAAGCAACATTAACTTAATTAGATCAAACTTTTGTGAATACTCTAAATGGTTACCTGTGTTAGTTGGACGAAGTTATGCTAAACATTATCAGGACCATAACAGTTCTGCGGGTAAACCTTGGATAAGCTTTCATAAAGAAGTTCTTTTGATGAGGTGGATGGGGCAGGTGAAAAAGGTGCAGGTTGATACAAAGAGTTGGAAAAGAATAAAATCACTGTTTTACTTTTTTTTTTAGTGAAAATAAAATTTTATTAATCATCCCAAGTTGGGGAAAAGCTGATGGAACCAGCGTGAGAAGAGCAGACTCAAGATGGATCTGTCAGCCTCAGCATAGTCCCTACAAAGGTGACACCTAAATGACTGTCAGTACAATTATATACACCTCACATCCACGCCTACAAGCTTTACAATAAAATCAGCCAGGTTCTGCATCCTAATTATCCAAATGAACGTAAGACATTTAAAAGCTGTCAATACAACCAGCCACAAGTCACACATAGGAGTCGCCACCATGCCAAGAACTATGGTCTCTTTGCCCACACCGTACCAATGAGTTCACAAATGAGTTACTTTCCCTTAAAACGTGCTCCTGACCTGCTATTAGATGCACTTTGTGCCCATTCCGCATTTAGGAGAAGGCCAAAAACTCCATCCATCAGCCAATGAAACCATTCTGGTCTTGACGGAGCTTCCCAAGCCCCTCACATTCCAGCAGAGTAAACGCATAAATCACAATTCAGAAATGGATGCTCGAATAGCTTGAAGGTGGTGATCAAATAAAGAGAAATATCCCAAAGGAACCAAAAAGAGATGAGAATTCCGTACCCCTGGCTGTTATTCATGAGCTCAAGAACAAAGACAAAATAAAGTTAAAAGTCATATTCAGTCAGCTGTAACTGGGCATATAGAAAGAACCGAAACCTGATAGCAGAGTGAGATTTGTTCAGCAGAGCATGATCAAAAAAGAACTGCTGGCTATAATATATACATCAAATCGAAGTCCTTACACACGGCTGTAGTCGAAGTCAATTATCGGGTCTGGACTTTTCTATGCGTTCCAATATTTCAAGAATGATCCATTCCGAGCATTGTGGTGAAAGACCCAGTTGCATGCCCAATTCCCATATTTGCTCGGCTTCCCTAGATGGGGCGAAATTCACCTTGGGTGCTTGTGATTTACCAACAAGCGGGCTATTTTGAGTTGGCGAGGAGACTCATCTTTAGAGATTTTTAATGCCTTTCTTCCTCAGCTTCTGCAATTTTCTAGTGACTTCGGATTTCATGCCAACTTCAATAAGATCCTCTAATCTACATTATGACGCATCCGACATCGACTTTGATTCCTCATC